CATATCGTTTATACTAAACTCAGTCGGACATCCAAACATAATGAAACCTGCTCTAGTTGCAGCACATGTTACATCCGTCCTTAAAGTATTAAATAAGTCAACAAAACCTGTTGGTGGTATATCTGAGTAAGTATCTTCAAAGGAGTATTTTTTACCATTCACAACAATAAAATCTTCTGGTGTCAAAAGAGCAAAACAGGCTTTAGTCGTCATCGTGTTTAAGGTCAGTTTACAATATCGTCCTTGAGGACTTTGTAAGTTTGTTGTTATAGAATTATATGACTCAGGGTTTTTAGTCGTAATAGTATAAACCACTATGTCTTCTGCCATTTACATATATTTAAAAGTTTTTCTGAAAGTGGAGAAGAACTTCATCTAAACTTTCACATGGCGTTTCTTGAAGTTCTCTGTCTAAGAAGTTCAAATATTTTGTAAAGACATAGAACTTTCCTTTGTCTACACGAACAAACAAAACAGGGTCTTTCATATCGTTTCAAAAGTGTGTAAAGTCCTTTACATGAAATAAAGTCTATATTGTTTTTCTTCAAACATCTTTCAAGAAGTTTTGCCATTTACTTAGCAACTAAATTTTAATGAAATGTTGTGGTCGTCAAATATTTTTATGACGTCTGGGAAACTATATTTTAAGTTCAACGTTTCACCTCCTTTCATAACGTATATCTTGTCAATGACATTATATGAAACACCACAGCAAGCAATGTCGGGTTCTATTTCTTTGATGTTTATATCGTCTGCCTCTGTCAAAAGTTTCAATAGTTCTTTCAAAATTTCATGAGGTGCGATGACATATGAGTTCACTTTTACAGGGTTGTGTTCAACCAAGTTTAACATTATACCTAAAGCTTGACAAATCTTCTCCTGAGTTTTAAGTTTGTCTTTAAGTTGTTGGTAGTCATTTCGAATATCTGCAACAGAACTTAAGTCTCTGCTAACTTCAGGATATGTTGGTTGTTCTTTACAGGAACTATTGTTATACCATCTTCGTCTTCGTATGGTTTCCCCACTTCAACATCTCTGTCTTTGACATTGACAAAAACACTTTGACTGTTTGTTTGAGTTGGTGAATTTAACTTCACATCTGCCATCGCCATTAAATTTTGAAACACTCACGCTTCTATTTTTCGGAAATGACATTTTACTTAGAATAAAAAGATGGACGTATTTGAGTATCTCTTCGAATTGAAGCAAAACAAAGTTTACACACACAACAATACAAGTTCATTGACAGAGTAGTTCTTTATACAAACAATGGAAAATGTTATAGAATAGCAGTCTTTGCTGAACCAAAATATTTTCATAAAGCAAAGAAAGTTGGTATAACCGAGATGGTGAAAGTTCTTGAAGCAGACAAAAATATAACAACAAAACTGACCGATATTTCTAAAGGTAAGTTTATAATACAATACTATGTCAAAACTGGCGGTACTGTCAATATTTGACGGAGAGAAGTCAGTTCAAGAACAACTTACTGACCTGCTGCCAAATCTGCTCGATGGAAGCTGTCGTTATACCAATCTGAGGAGCCCAGCAGGTTTCATCGAACGAATCTTCAAAAGAGCATCTTCTGTGAAAAGTGCTATTGGTTTTGTAAACTTCTTTGCTTTCAATTCATTTGGACCGTCTCTGTCACCAGTATATTGTATTTGAACTGTACCAACAGTTGAAATACCACCCATAAAGTCTTCTGAGTCAGCAAAATGGAAGCCAAGCCAAAAGTTTGAACGGTCTCCATTTGTATATTGAGTGTTTTGACCTCCTGTATGAGTCCATACTTTCACATATGGCATAATAGAACTTTGCATTTCAGGGTTTATGGTTGTTGTGAAGTTGTTGTTAAAGTTCATAGCATCTAATCAAGTTGTATGACCATCTATCTTCAAACTGTAAGAATATTCTTCTCTTGGATAGTATTTGCCATCTATGTTTATATGATATTTAATACCGGGGTTGTAGAAACAAGAATAGTCATTTATAGTTCGTCTGAACAGTACAAACATAGTATCTGCATGTTTCATTGGCAGTTGTTAAGGCAATATCTGTTCTTGCACCTGGGTCAGCACTTTGGTTTCCAACTTCACCTGCAAAGTCTTTGACAGATATTTGGTGTATAGGGAACATAAGTGGAACTGCAATATATTTGGCAGCTAAAGCATTTGAAATATCTGGGTCCAACATATAGACTGCAAGTCTGCTTTCTATTCTCTTGCATTCAACTTTTCGCATGTGAACTTAACTGGGTCCAAGCATTCCAGCAGCATTGAAATAATAGTTTACTTCAGTGTTGAGGTTTGAGAAACCAAAGTCTAGGTCAACTTTGTCTTTGCAAATTCGGCGAATGACGTTTGATTTGCTCCCTTTAACGTCTGTAAGAGTGAATGGGTCTTGTGTTGGTGCAATGACTAAGTTATTTTTGCTTGGAGTAAGTTCGATAGAAATTTTTCCTGCCCAGTTTGGCAAGTATCTTAAAAACCTGAAGATGAGGAAAGATGACAAAGGAACTCTAAGTTTCAGTTTTACTTTGGTTACTGCTGCTGCAGTTTGTCCAGAAAGGTCAACATAAACTCCTGGAACGTTAGGGTCAATCTTTCTATTTTCTCAATAGTTGCATACTGGTCTGTTTGTTCTCTAGCTTGTGGTTGTACTGAGTTTCTCAAAGCGAACCATTCATAGTTTGCCCATGTTACTGTTTGAACTAAGTCAGAGTTAGAATATATCTTATATCCCATGAAAACTTCTGGAGCATATTGGTATCCGACATAGAAAATTCCATTGCAACCTTTCTTGTCAGACAACTTGGCAGAAGGTTTTATTTCAATGTCTTGTTCCACGTATAAGAATGAGTTGTCAATAGAAATTATATGAAACCTGTCGCAAGCAATATCTACTGTTGTTGAAGAACCTTCTCCAAACTCACCTACGTTTCCATAAGAAACAGCAGTTGTATATTCGTAAGTTCCAGGAACTATTTCTGACCTTCTAAATGGCATTGTCGCATTCGTTATACCATTCGGAAACATTTCCATTCATAGCATCCAAAACTGTTGGCGTTATATTCTGAGCGGCGTACATTTCATATGGGTAAAAATATAGAATAGTTGGATTTATATGTCATAATAGAACCCACGTGGACCAAGCTTTACTTTCTTCCTGACTGAGTTTTTAACTCTTCTTTTTCCTTCATTGCCACTACTTTCACTAGATGAAGTTACTTCTTCACTACTTTCACTTTGTTCTACTCTTCTCTTCTTCTTTGGTGTCGCTTTTGGTAACTTGCCTCTGCTTCAAGTTGTTGCATCTTTGTCTCATGTTCACCTAGTATGTTGTAAATTTCCCATGTCCTTTTTGCCTTTGGGCTCTGGTCGCCCATCTCAGGTAACCTATATCCTAGAAAGAGTTTGTCATAGTTTGTATTTGAGTCTTTGCGTATTGTTTGCATGACTCTTTCCTGAGTTTCCGGTTCAAGCTCTTCAAACAGTGCCTGTCCATATGAATATGCTCGTTTTCCAAATATATGTTTTTGTAGCCATTCTGGTTTTTCTTTCCATGTTACCAACTATATCTTTTGTGAATGGGAAAGCTTTTACCCAATGTTTCAGTCTTGGGTCATTTATTTCTGTAGTTGGTTTTATTTTGTCAAGGAACATGTTTTTTCAATACTAACATTTCATTTGGTACTGTCCATTTGAGTTTACTTAAATATTCATCCCTTCTCGGTTCATTGTCTGCAAAGTAAGTTTTTATGACATTTTGTAAACTTTCGTTGCAAGGTCATGTACAATAGGTTCTCTTCCTTCTCTATCCCTAACTTTCTTTCTAAACTCTTCACCAATATACCATCTCTATGGTTCTGTGTAGTTCTTTGAGATAAATGTTCTAGAACGTCAGGTGTTATATTTCCATCAGCCATGTTCATTTCATACTGGTCCAAATATCTGCATGTTTCATATCTTTCAATGGCATTAAAGCCGCGCTTAAAAATACCAGCTATATCTCGTTCACCATTCAATTCCATTGCGTCTACAACTTCTTGGAATTGTGGTTGTAAGTTTATGAACCACCTATCCGGGTTAGCTTTATGACCCCATCTCATTGTAGTTCCATCGTCTGCAGAAACAAAAGTAGGTTTGTTTCCATCTTGTTAGGTTCTGAATGAACTTTAAACAATGTTTCATTTCTATAGTTTTTCTTGAAATTTAAACCTTTTATTTTCAACCGAGTTCATCCGAAGATTGAACGTTAAATGCTCGTAAGTAAAAAGGGTTTGTTGTATTTGTGTACATTTTCTTTCAGTTCTTCCATTCTATGCTGAATATTTTCATCTGATGTTGGAGTCTTTTGTATGTCGGCGAACATTTTTCGATATTCTTCTACTATGTCAGCCGAATTTTTCTTAGACTCTTGAAATATTCCATATTCTCCGCATACTCTTGTTGAGGGTCAAGATTTTTCGGCTGTTCAAATCTTCATCTAGTTCTGTGAAGTTAGTTTCCAAAGGAGTGACTTGTTCGTTTCCTTCAGGCTCTTCTAGCTGTTGTTGCTGAACTATTTCTTCCATGTCTGGTTGTATCTGAACTAGTTCTTCCTGTGGAGTTTCTTGTACCTCATCTGCTGGCATTTCATATATTCCGAGACCGTTTTCAACAATTTCCCTTTCTAAGTCATCCGGACTCATAAACCTTTCTTCTTTCGTTCCGTCTCTATTTTTTACGCGTTTCATGACGAGAGTTGAATTGTCATTTAGCTCTGACATCAAATATCTCGGAGTAAATTCGTTCATGTCATTTGGATGATATGCTATTAAATCATATCCCTTAGCGAGCTTGTATTTTCCAGGTTTGAATTTATATCGTTTTGGTGCTGAGCCATAAAGCTAAATAGGTCCGGGTCAGTATTTCCATCCTTGAACTTTCTAATAGCTTCTTTATATCTGCCACTAAAGTCAATACTATCTGGGTAACCATAGTCTTCCTTAAGCCTTTTTAAGAATTCTTGGTTTCCTTGTTCTCTACTTCTTTTATGTCCTTGCTCTGTTTGTGGTTGTTGTTGTTGTGCAGGGTTTTGAACTGTTGGTTGTGGTGCTGGTTGTGGAGGTGGTGCAGGTGCAGGGTTTTGAACTGTTGGTTGTTGTGTTGGTTGTGGAGGTGGTTGTTGTGCTGGTTTTGGTGCATGCCTGTGTCTGTGTCCATGTGACGATGTAAATGTTTTAGGTAGTCCTGGTGCAGGTGCTTCTCTTGGAGGGTTTGGTGGTATATAAGTTCCACTAGCTAGTATATAAGTTCCACCAGCTGGTATATAAGTTCCACACAGCTGGCACATATGTTCCATCTGCAGCGTAATGTCCTACCTGACTTTTCGTTTTTAAGAAAGCATTTACTAGGTCTGTTTTGGTCTGTTGTAACTCTTTTTCTTGACTTTTCACAACAGTTGCTCTAACGCGTCATAGGCACTTTGAACTGCCTGTCTCGTTTGCTGCATCTGTTATTTTCGTCATATTTTGTGCTACTTCTTTTAACTCTTTGTCGAAAACCTTCAGACTTCAGTTTCTTTCCAGATGAGAAGTCGTTCACTTGTTTCACCTTACTATGAAGAGCTTCGAAGGCGTTCTTAAAGTCAGCATTTGTTAAAGTTTCATTTGAACTGTCTTCATCCGCTTGTATTTTTGTCCTTATTGACCCTATGAGTTGGGCTGCTTTAGCGTTGGCTTGGGCATCTAACCAGTCATTGTTAGCTTTTATATATTCTGCGCTTTTCATTGCCTTTTGCATGGCTGCGTCGTTATTTTTACTTTCTTGTGCTAAGTTTTCATACTGTACGGTTTGGTTCTGCAACTGTAAAAGTTTTTCTGCCTTTACATTTGCTTCAACTTCTTTTTTATACTCATCGCTATCCATATATGTCTTCAGGGCTTTTTGTTTTATCTCTTCATCTTTCAGTACTTTATATTGAGTAGTATGGTTTTTTTCAAATTTAAAACATCTTGTTCCATTTTTGCTACTTCTGCTGCTTTTTCTGACACTTTTTTCGCATATTCCTCTGTACTTAGTTCTTTCAGTTGTTCTTCTTTCTTCTTTTTCTCTACGTTTAACTCATTGAGTTTCTTTGTGTGTCTGTCATATTCTAGTTTCTTTTCGTTTTCACTTATTTGCTTCTGTATGTCTATGTTTGACTTTTTGACATCTGTTATTTGATTTTTGAGTGAACTCAAATTCATTTGACTTTGAGGGTTATAGGCTGTTCCGTCTGCAGCTCCACCATAGCCTGCCATTTTCGCTAAAAGTGCCGCTCTTAAACCTCCACTCTGTGCACCAATGACTCGGTTTAAAAGCATAGGATTGCTTGACATTTGTTGCAACATAGTGGGGTCATTCAGCATTTGTTGTTGCAACTGTTGTTGTGGTGTTAGTCTTACTATTGGATGTTTCAATGCTCTCTTCCTCTTACGTATATTCTTACGTAGCTTACGTGGCATTTTAAGTGAAGTTAAAAAGCGGTTTTATACTAAACATCTTCGGGGCTAGAGGGCACGAAGTGCCTGGAAGCCCCAATACCTTTTTTTTTTTTTAAGTTCTAAAATTAAATCTAAAATCAGATCATTTATAAAAATTAACGAGTGGGGGACAAACTCGCCCATTGTCACTTTTCATTAACCTTAAACTTGTAATTCCATTATTTTTAATTAACCTTATTTCTTTCCCAATTCCTGATTTATTTTATTCACTTACTATTAAAAGTCACATTTTAATAAAATATAATAATTTATTTATAGCATTTTTTACTATACTGTAATAAAAAATTAATTATAATAAATTAAATGTTTATTAAATCAAATGTTTTCTTTGCAATAATATTTTTAATGTTGAGTAAACAATGTTGGGATCAAGTGTATCATTTTTCAGACCTTTCTGAACAGCTTCAAGCATACTGATAGTTAGTATACAAGTCTTGGGTATGGTGGCACTGCGTTCCACCTTACCCAATACTTGTGAATTTGACACTTTACAAAACCGTTAACGTATATTTTACAACATGAACGCAAAAACTAACTTAACCTTAAATATTTACAAAGCCGCCAACAATTTCACCTCACTATCGTTCTCACTAACAACTTCACTAATGTTCTCATAAATTTTCCTCAATATCTTCATCATCAGTGTTAGCCCTATTGTAGTCATACTTGAAGCCATAAACTTTCTCTAACTTCTTAACGTACAATTTACATAACTTACCTTCGTCATCGTATGGTTTAATGATATAACTATTTCTATCTTTATAAACAGTCAATGAAAAGTCAACTGGTCTCGGATGTATTTGAAAGAACATGTTATGCTCAGGAAGGAAGAATAAATGTTTAAATGTATGTTTGTTATATGTTTTGATTTGTATGAGTTGCTTTTGTTCTGTCATTACATCCAAATAAAATAAAAATAATTTTAAAAAATAAAATAAAAAATAAATGATATCACCACCCTCACACGTATGAAAACATAGCACAAAAATAAATTTAGGTGAGATCTCACCTCTCTTTTCACCTGTTTTTTCACCCTGTTGAATTCATTGCTTTATAACTCTCTTCCTTGGTTTCTTTTTAGTTGCTTTCTTCACGTCTGTCTCCAACTTGACTATCTTTCTTCTTCGTCCATAATGATACCAATTACTTCCACCAGTCAATGGGTCAAATGGTCTTTCGTAAGGGTTTCCATACATTCCATAAGGTCCGTATGGATAAACCGCTGGTGGAGAAGAAACATTTTCTTTAGTTCCATCGAATCTATTTAAATGCATTGTTTCACCTTTCATCTGGTCATTAAAGTCTTTTGCGTGTTTTGCAAACTCATCGTCCTTTCCTAAAGCATTTTCTGACTCAGTCGCAACCAAATTGGATGCTTTATTTATGAGCCCTATTTTATTTAATCTTAACTTCTTTGCAACCCAGCCTCCAATCTTTCCTTTATTTGCATCTAATGTCTTTGAAACCCTTCCTCCACTCATTTTATTTACTGCGTCATAAGCTCCAAGTGCTTTTGCTCCAAATGCTAATGCTTTTGTTCCCATTGCGCCTAAAGCTGCCCAAGCTACCATTTACCCCATATTAAAATCATCTCTCTTCAATATTATCTCATAAAAGTTCTCGTTACTGGAGAAAGTCAATGAAACATAAACATTCTCACGGGCTTCACCCTCACCGCTTTGCGGTCTATCTAACTTCTTTCTATCTCATCTATTCGCTTCAAAATGTCTGAACAATTGCTAACATCTTCTACAACAGTTATTTCATCATGAACGACCTTTAAGAAACAGCTATTTAATATGCAATTTAAAATCATCTCAATAATGAGTCCATCCTTTCCATCTTTAGGTAGCACAACATCTTTCATTGAAGAAGGTTCGACAAGTCTTATGTTAAACTTACTGACAAAGTTTGTTATACTATAATGCTTCGGTGGCGAATACATGTAGTTTGAAAGACATAATATAGATTCTTCAGCAAATTCACTTATACTGGATTTTTAACAATGTTCTCACGAGACCAAACGCCACCAATTGACAATCTTGTAAGCAATCCTGCTGAGCCTTCAACTGTAAACGTCGATGGTAACATTCCACGAAGGTCATCTATTGACATCTTTGAGTCACTGAATTTAAATATTTTCTTAAAGCAATCGTCATTATCTAACCATGCAATAGCTTTGAAGTTTTCATTCGAATATACATCTGCTTCATTAAATGTAAAACCTGACTTCTTTGCAGAGGCGATTTTAAAATCTATTGCATTTGTTTCAAAATTATATGCTATGGTAACTTCTGAAGGTAATGGGTGTCCTTCTGCTATAAGTTGTTTTTCAATACCATTTGAAGCTTTGTGTTAAAAACTTTCATGTCATCTCCTGTATCTAAGTTCACATACACAGCAACAGGGAAACTATCTTGCTTCTTTGTTTCATCATTATATCTCAAAACATTAAAGTTCTTCAATAATATTGTCCTTCCTGCTGGAATACTTCTAACTTGTCTTATTTCAATAGCTTTCTCACCTCCTACATACTCTACCCAGTGTCTTGGATATTCATAAGTATACTGACTTTCTTGAATTTTGGTTGGTTTCATCATAACGTGTTCATAGTATATCTTTATACTCTTGTCAGTTAGACTCGGTGCTATGTTCTGAATATTTCTGACTTGCATTTTTAATGGAGATAAAATGAAGCATTTAATACATGACGTAGATGAAGACATGAATGAAACTACAGACAAACTTAACTCTTCTCTTATTCTTCCTTTCAGCAAAGATTATGAATTCTGTTCAAATGGTGTGTATTTCTATTGTGGAAAGATGGGTTCAGGTAAGACATTTAACCTCATTCGTCATATACTCATAACAGAGCGTTTAGGAAACGACTCTTACTATGACCAAATCATTATATCAGCAACTTCAGACTCTATGGATTCAACAGCGAAAACATTCATGAGTAAAGTTCAAGCATCTGTCGTTAAAGTTCCAGATAGCGAACTCATTGAATTTCTTCAACGTTACATTCGACGTAAGAGAAAATATTATGCTATTGTAGAGTTCATACAGTCAGGAATGCAAAAGACTTCAGAAGAGATGGAAAGAATTATTGACAAACACCACTTACGTCAGTACTCAGGAGTTTACGATATGAAACGACTGACAAACTACATTCTATCAAAACTTTCAAAATACCCCTTCAAAAAGTATCCTTCAAACACTCTGCTCGTTTGTGACGACTTCGCCGGAAAAGGTTTAGTGTCAAAGCCTGACTCACCATTAGCTAACATCATAACTAAAGTCAGACATTACCATTTAACTGTAGCAATACTTATGCAAACATGGCGTTTCCTTGCTTTAAACATAAAACGTCTCATAACTGACTTCGTTATCTTTCAAGGTTTCTCACGCTATGATATTGAACTCATTTGGAAACAGTCAGGTATAACATTACCTTTTGAAGAAATTTGGGAAGCATATAAGTCTCTCATCTCTCCTCGTTCATACCTTGAGATTCATATCATGACTAATACCATTAAAGTCAAAAATATTCCATGGGAACGACCAACATTGTTTTAAATCTTATGCTTTAATTGACTGATGGTAAACAAATTCCATGCATCTCTGTCGCCATTTCTGTTAATATTTTTGCTGTCATTCATATCATCCACTTCCCCATCCGTTAGCTTTTGAGGATATGCGTTAGAATAGCTGTTCTTAAATGAAGGCTTTTCACCTTTGAGAGCATAAACTCTATAACTTTCTGCATACTTTATGTTTGAACCTCCTGAGCCATCATTGACATAAATTTTTATAGGCTTCCACCCTTTGTTCATATTCCTGCTTCTTCCCTTTGCTCTTTTGTTCAGTAGTTCTACATCTTTATACACAGCACCTGTCTCAGTGAATTCAACAATATTTTCATTCGTTAGCTTTACATTCAAACCCTTGTCGAGTATATTGTTCATTTCATACATATAAAAGGTTTTTATTCTATATGAAATGAGAAGCAAATCCATCTTAGCTGGTGCCGTTAATGTTCCAATTGAACCAACATCAAATGTTGACTCACGAACGACAAACAATATTGTCATAAAGAACTATAGTTCGGAGTGTTTGAAAGAAAAAGAACCAGATCTTAAGTCGGTGAATTTAAACACAACTTCAAACGCTAACGCTACATCAGATGTTAAGTTAGAGTATCCACCACTGGACCAAGTTCTTTCAAGAGAAGCCAACGACAACCCTTACACAAATGTTCAAACAAATCCTTCAGATAACGTAGACCATTACCTTCTTCAGTTATACCAAACAATTTTACTCAAAGACGATAAGAAGCTTTTGACAAATCTTATAAGTAAGAACCAAATAATTCTAACAAAGGAGGACCTTGAAAATGTTATATCACGAATAACAGGAAAGCAATGTGTCATTGACTATCTCGACCCTGAAATCGAATGCTGTGGTCAAACTCCAATATTCATGAAAATAGGTAACATCCGCATCATTGAAACACCAGGTACTCCAGGAGTTGAGTTTAAGTATAAATATTCGAACGAGTATACAAAACTATCTACTTACTATAAGCTTTGTTTGAAATATGTTTTAGTAAATTAAAGCAATTTGTAATATCTATCCAAAACTTCTTCAACAGTATCGAACTCATCTTCATAATGCAAACCTAATCTTATTGACTTGGTGCAGTTTTCACTAACACAATATTTTTCTGTTCTCTTGACTGACATAACTAACTCATTTGTTTCATCAAACAGCAACAACCAAAGTTCATGACCTAATACATAACATTCATACTTTATATTTTTAGCTCTGAGTTCTCTTGTAAGCTGTTGCATTTAATATTTTCTAAAAAGTCAACTTCAACAGTCATTCGCACTGGTGCCTTCAGTTCTACAGGCTCTCCTTGAAAGTCAACAAGTCTGAATTGCATGTCTTTCAAATTATGAGGACTAATGCGAACCCATTTACCTAAATGAGTTGCTATGACAGGAACGTTTGGAATGAACATTGAATTTACTTCATAACAGAAGGATTTATATTCTACTGAACCTTTACTATTAACTCCTGAAATACCTGTGACATTAGCTATTTTTGACTCAATGTACAAACAATTGCCATAACATACGTATGGAACAGATTTCATCTCAATCGTTTTGTCAACACTTTTCAAAGGAAATGTCATATGGTATGCTCCCAAAAGAAGTTGTACTCTATGACATTCTTGGTATCTTAAACTCCTTCGCATAACTGAACTTCAAAACTCCTGCAATAAGTTTAACATTCATTAAGTTTTCTCCGTTATCCTTGTTTATTGTAGTATTTATGAGAGCATTTAACACTCCAGCTAATGTTTCCATCTTATATTCTACATTATTGTGAAATCTTATTTCGTGCTTCTTTCCATCTATTTCAAGCTCCATGAAATCTGTTTCATCTGTTATAACGAATGAAGCGATAGTATTAAAGTCAACCATTCTGAATGCAAGTGGCTCATTCTGTAGACCTAAGTTTGTTTGTAGTTTTACTGTCCCGTATTCGTTTGGGTCTGTACTTTGCAAATAGAACAACATTTTATTCTCATTAAAATATGAGTATAGCTGCATATGCGTATGAAGCTGACAGAGCTAAACGTTTATATTTTGGTCAATACTCTCTCACACTTACTGACAAATATATTGTTATTTCTGATGGAAATACCGAGAAATACATAACATGGAAGGACTATGAAAAGTTTGACCCCATTTTAACTCCATGCACTATGCCATTCATTGTAAATGGTGAAGTTGTCATGAAGAACGACACAACAGTATATAAGTCTGTTCATGAAGCGTTAGAATATATGTTGAATTATAATCCCGAAAGATTTGACCCAAGCACTACGCCATGTACAATGCCTTTTATTAAGGATGGTGAAATCGTAAGAGTTCCGGATTCAACGGTTTACACAGCTGTTCAAAACAGTTTACAAAACATTTTAGCGAATATCTTTAATTCAGAAACTACAGAAATAAAATTACCATATATAACAGATGCTAAAGAAATTAAATCAAAAACGACAACATTATTTACGTCACTTAATGATTTAATGACTTATATCATTAATATTCCTGCACCAACTATAGCATTTGATCCAAACTCGACGGTTTGCAGTGTACCTTTCATAAATGACAGTTCATTAATTACTTTAAGGGATTCGACAGTAAATGAATCATTAAAGGCGTCATTAATGAAAATCATTGATTTTAATTCATTCACGAATACATATAATTCATTCATTAATGTTTCATATGCTTCTAAAGAAGGTGAGCCAAAAACTATCGATAAAGCGGTGTATGAAATAAAAGCATCAACGACGAAATTGAATTCGTTAACTTTTGACGGTGATAGTTTCGTTAATGACATAACATCGGGGAAAACAATTTTAACGAAAGAATATTTAAAATCTCATGTTAGTGAGTTCGTTGAAATTGAAAAAGAAGGTGGAATTAAGTTCGATCCACTGAATTTCATTTTCAGCTTAGCGAATGCGGGTGTTAGTTTCGCTGAATGGACAACTATACAGAGTGAAATAAATGCAATATGGACGTTTTTGGGGTCAAAAGCGGGAATGGGTGAGCTTGTAAATGCTGCAAGAACATTAGGTGAAACAGGAAATTTTGTAGATGGTTTTAAAAGACTTGTTTCAAATGTTTTAACAAACACAAAGAAATTATTTAGATATACCGTACATAACGGACGGATTTTCGAACAGATAGCAACAAACCCTCCGGTTATGGCTGCGTTGATGATGGTTAGAGATATAAAACCACGTAACGACGGGAACGAAGAACATGAACAACAGGATACTGGTCGGGTTATTCGAGACATTAAAAACGTGTATCCTGAAGTTATTGATTTATTTAGAGGAGTTAATGATTCAATTTCAAAACATTCTATAACCCTCGATGAAGAGAATAAATTAACAGATTATATATTCGTCATTATTGCAGAATTAATGAAGAGAATAAATGAAAAAGGAATTGGTGATATCATTAATGTCAGCGATGTAATGATGAAAAGAAATTTTGACTCATTATTTACAAAACCGAAAACAGAATATAGTCTTTATGACGTAATTACCGAATTAATGAAAAGATTAATGATAATAAGAGTTCTGGCGGAAGAGTTGAATTAGAAGTGAATGATGTTAATGAGAAATTAGCCGAAAAAGCAAACAAAAATGAGCTTTTAGCTCTGAGTGATAAAGTCAAGAACCACGTTCATTATATAACTTCAGACGAACAGATTATAACGAACTACCATGGATATTTAACACGAAGTGATGAAGCGAAGACAAAAAATGTTAATGAAAGAAGATATAAATACATTCGTGCTAAAGGTTATGACATAAGCTGTACTGTACAGTATGATGTAGCTAAAGCACCAGAAGCATTTGGTTATACCGGTGAAATTTATGCCTCTACTTTCAATGTTAACGGTGTATTAGTTGAACCAAGATTTACTTTGAGAGTTAAGTCAAAAATAACGTTTGAAGATGCTATTAAAAGTAAAGCTGACAAAGTTGAACTTGAAGCAACGAACAAAGTTTTGAAATCTCATAAACACAACATCTCCGATATAAATGAACTTCAAGCTACATTAGACAGTAAAGCCGACAAGAACCATACACATAAATCCTTCACTACTGTTAGAGCAGACGACATAATATTGAACTATACCCTTGGTTCAAGTGCACCTTTAGAGAATCCAAGTACAAGCGTAAAAGATACACTAAACAATTTAGATAACAGTTGCAGGAATATTGAAGGTCATGCCAGAAACTTTGAAGCACATGAACTACCAGCAATGTTAGATAAGAAAGCCGACAAAACTTATGTAGATGAAAATTATGCAAAGAAGTCGGAAGTAAATGCTGCGCTTAATGGAAAAGCCGATAAAGAGCACGTGCATGAAGAATTTCAAACAATCAAGATTAAAGAAATTAAGGCATGCATCGAAATAGTAACAAAAACAGGAAGAGACGGTGCAACTGTACAAGAACAAAGAATTTATCCTCCTACTTTTCCTAATGGTTTAATAACAAACAATATAAATATTGTAGAAGGCAATAAAACTATAAACGTTAAACATGAACTTCTAACAATGAAGGCCCAGATTCTTGAAACCATATATCCTATAGGCTCTATTTATACGTCAATGAACTCAACAAATCCGGCAAGTGTTTTAGGTTTTGGTACGTGGGAACAGATTGTAGATAAATTCCTCTATTGTGCGAACTCTTCAAAGCAAACAGGTGGTTCGAAGAAAATTAAAGAAGCAAACCTTCCACCGCACACTCATACAGGAACTACAAACTTTTCTGGTGACCATAGTCACTCATTAAGAGACCATCCATTATACAACTCAGAATATTATGCTGGCAATGATGTTTTATCTCCAGATTATAACCATTCGGCAAAAAAGACTTTTCGACCAACTGAACCAGGAGGAAATCATTCACACACTTTCACAACAAATCCAACAGGTTCGGGTGCAGATTATATGCCTCCATTTATGACTGTATTCGCATGGTACCGCGTTCAATAAACACACTTGAGCCTTGACTCAAAGGATCTAGGCTTACCGCGTTCAATGAAATCTTTAACTTTACATAAATGAGCTTGAAAGAAGTATTCGAACAACATCCATGGAGGTCATTTAAGAAGTTCAATGAAGCTGCAAAGAGTTGGGGATTTACTAACAGAGCTGAAGTTAAAAAGTTCTTTGACAAAAATGTTGTACATCAAACAAAAATAAACCCTTACGACTACTTTTTACCAATTTACTCCAACACTCCAGACGCATACCAATTTGACACTCTCATTCAAAGCAGAAAAGGAGGACATAAACCATTCCTCATCTTCATAAATGTTAACACTCGCAAAGCTTTTGCGTATATAATGAGAAATAAAGGAACTCGTGAAGTGTTAAGAGTTTTACAAAAGTTTGTAGCAGAACATAACCCAAGTACTTTAACATCAGACCAAGACAGTGCATACCTCAGCAACGAAATCACAGAATTTCTCATTAAGCATAACATAACTCACTACACTACTGAAGACCATAACCATAATATTTTAGGTATCATTAATCGCTTCATAAGAACGCTCAGAGATTTAAATCAAGAGCGAGACTTTACCGAAGAAACAATGAAACATTTTCTCGAAGTATATAATTCCTCAACACATTCTACAACAGGACATACACCAAATTCAATGACACAACAACAAGAAGAAAAGTATATACAAAAGAAACGAAGCCAAACACAAAATATCAGAAATTCAACACAATTTACCCTCATTCCTGGTACAAAAGTTCGTGTAGTTCTTGACGACAAACCGTTGACAAAGAAACGTTTAAGGTTAAGTCGAAATTATTATATCGTAGACTCTACGCAAGGTAATGGATATCTTATAAAAGCTGCTGACGACTCTATTGCGTTTTATCCTCGTCATAAATTAGTCGAAAGTAGTAATGGCAAACTTGCTGAAACCATTGACGAAGCAAAGCGAGGAGTGGTTATTGAAATACTTAACTATACATAAACGATGACACTTATAAAGTAAGATATGAAGGAGGCGTTGAAGATGTTATACCATCTAAGAACTTGAGAGTCAAAGCCAACACATCTGGGACCATTAGAGCGGGAGTACTGGAAAGACAAAAATATGCCAGAAAGAATAAGAAAATTCTTCTAAACTTTTTCATTAGATGTAAATCAGACATGAACGAGAACAGTCATGATATCATTAATGGTACCATTTATTTTAACATAAACTTTATTTATGTTAGAATGTTAGATCTAACACGTTTTCTAACCACTTTTCTAACATGGTCTAAAACTCTCGAAAATCATGAATTTTTGACATTTCCTTATGAAAGAAAAATAACGCTAATTTTTTTCTAAGAAAAATTTTTATCTTGTATGTAAAGATCTGATTTCAACAATAGGTTCTACAACACTTCAAACAACAACTTCACCAAACTCTTTAGTTATGAATCCAACATCTATGTTAGTAGAGATGAAAAGCTTCATTCCTTCTTCATATACTTTTGAGACAGAAATACAAAGAATTAAGCAAGAACTTTTAACAAGTAATTTAGACTGTAGTGCGAAAGATGAAACAAATGAACAGTATCTTTATGACATGCAGGATATTATTGACCATTTACCCAAATTGCCTGAAATCCAACAACAAAAGCTCACTATTCATGAATTCGATGAAATAGAAGTGAAACCAACTGACTCAGTAGAAATAAAGAAGTTCATACGTAAAGTAAACTATGAGTTTCTAGGATATCATTGCAACCATAAAGTTATGGACAAAGATTGCGACATGGTATATAAGAACATCTCTGACATATATAAATCTGGGGAGTTTAAGACATACGACAACTTTGTTTCATTAGTTGCTGAATGTGTATGGCAGATAAGAGATAAAGATAAAAGATGTAAAATATGGAATGGACAAATAAAACCAACAACTTTTGAGTTAAAGAAAACCATTGACGCCTTAGTTGTTCTAGCAGGTCAAATTTCAATGTATAACGCAAAAATGAATCCGCAATGTTCAAAATGTAAAGCAGCAATGAGGAAATATAACTACTCCGTCAAAGAGATAGAACGTATGAGAAACGACTATGCTGACTTAAAGAAAGAAGTAGAGAAACCAGCAGAAGATAAAATGGACATGTTAGCATTTCTGAACAAAAACTATCCAACTGCTGACGATTTCCTATTATCTGATGTCAAGAAGAAATATAAAGAAACCTTCGGCATAGTTAAAATTTTTGATATCCTTCGTGAAGAAATAGAAGCTACAAAACTGTTTAAAGTCATGAACCATCGCAACATATACCATGTAAAACGCTTGTAAATAGTTTTCTTCGATGTTAGAAAAGTGGTTAGAAAACGTGTTAGATCTAACATGCTAACATAAACATTATTTTTTCTATCTTAAGAAAAATTTTTATCTTGTATGTAAAGACAGTAATGACAAACATTGAGTTTGAAACAGTTAGAAAGATAGACAATGACACCAAAGTGGTTAGAATAGGTGATTTAAACGTAAGATACTCAAAGAAATACAACAAATATTCTTTGTCAGACATTATAACACCATCTGGAAAGAAAACAAACGACTGGGTTAGAAATGCTTCAACTCAGAAAATTTTGACAAGAAATCCTGAGCTTATGATATCAGTAGCATTTCATGGAACAAGAGCATATCTTATAGACAAAAGTCTTATACCAATAGTTTTGTTATGGTTAGACCCAGTTGTTGGATATAACTTCATAACTTATGGTTCATTCGATACGGAACGTTGCAGTGAAGGCTTACTTTACATCGTTCAGAAACCGAAGGACTTCAACACAAAAAGATATAAGATAGGAAGAACATATAATATAACTCAAAGATATGACAGTACAGTCAATAGAGTCAAGGTTGTGTTCGTTAATGATATGAGAGCTGCAGAAACAGAACTACTTGAAAAGTTTGAGAAAATGTATGGTGCTCCCATGAAAGGTAAAGAAACGTTTGAAGTAGATGAGATAGATAAAGCTATAAAATTATTTGACGAAGTTGCTGAAAAATACATGTAAAGCGTTTATTTTTGGTCTTTTGTGAAAGTCAGAAAATAACGCTAATTTTATTTTTATTTATTTTTTTATTTTGTATGTAAAGACAGTAATGTCAACATCAGAGAACACAACAACTGCTATCGTTCATGAAGCCATAAATGAAGAATACGAGTACATACAGTATAACAAACAGTTACGTCTCATTCGTTCAGTCAAAGACGATATGTACCAAATGCAAAGTATAATGAATGCTCTTCGTTCTACAAAGCAAGCATATCATTGGTTTGAAAACCAACAGACAAAAGAACTTTTAGAAGAATTTCCTCATATAATTGCTTTGCAGAATGAAGAGATTCCGTATGAAAATCGCAAGAATTTGGCTCCTTGTTTGAAAGGTTATTATGTTCATAGACTTTTAGTAAACGCTGTAGCAATGTGGGCTTCACCTCGTTATGCTTGTTATATTTTCATGATGTTAGATGAACTATATAAAGCAAAAGATGAAGTCATTGAATCCAAAGACAAAAGCATACAGAAAAGAATACCGCGTTCAGTACCAAAAGGAAAGGAAAAGAGTTATAGGTATATGATATATACTGAAGAATTGGAGAAAGAAGAAGATAAAGATATGGTTATGTTGCATTTAGTCAGAAGAAACAACAAGAGCTTTTATGACTTAGCTAAAATATATAAATCTGACAGAAACTGGTTCTATCGTGAAAACTTACCGATTTCAATGACACCGAATGAGCAAATAAAGGAAATTGTCAAAAATACTCTTCCTCAAACACACTATGACATCAAAGGTTGCACAATACTTACATTCAAAGAAGACTTAACATTACTGAAGGAAAAAATAACAGAATATTTCGATAACTTCAAAGAGGAAGAATGAAGTCACGACAACATTAATGATGAAGTCACGACAACATTAACGAAGAGAGAATGAGGTGAAAAAAGAGGTGAAAAAACGGGTGAGATCTCACCTCTTCACCTAAAATATATTTTTGTGCTATATTTACACTCATTTATGAAGAAGTCATGAATCCTACGTCAATTATGTTCGACACTGATAACATTAACGATAACATTAACGATAACATAAACGATAACATTCATTTTTGCATTAATCCTGCTGTGTTGTCAAAATGTCATGTTGTCATCATTTTTAAAAGAAGTTAATTAACCTGGTGACATGGTGACGTAGTGACACCATCAGTTATTCAAAAATATATTTTTGCTTAAATAGCTTCAGGGTCAATTTCTTCAACCATTTCACTTCCTTCGTCAATGTCAATAGAAGCTTCTTCAACCTTTGGTAAGAATTTCTGTATAACATCTTTGTTCGTTATTGTCTTCAGAGATAAAGGATAATATTTCACATTTGTTTCACCCTTCTTATATTCTTTCTGTTCGGAAAGATTTAAAGCAATACTGAAGAAGTCAACGTTAGAGTTCTTTATGACAGTATAATGAGTATCTTTGACATTCACGAAGAAACCCTTTTGTTTCAAAACTACTGCTAACTCTTGTGAAGTATAACGTTTGCGGTCAATGACAATAGCTAATGGTCTGACATACTGACCAAACTTAGATTCTTTCACAAACTTCTTGTTAAAGATAACATTGACGTTTGAAGCACCATTGAACTCATTCTTGATGACAGTAGCGAGAGCATTGTATGAAAAGAACTTGCAATCTTGCATGTGTTTCATTAAAATAAAAATATTAAATTATTTTGAAAAATAACTTAAAAAAATCTAATCTAATTTTTTCAAAAAATATTTTTTTATTTCCTACTAAAGATGTATCGGAAGTTGTCTAAGTTAGAACACTCGGAAATAAAACAACTTCTTACAGAAGCTAATATAGATGTTGCAAAGCATTACGCAACAAACAAAAAAGCACTCGCTGACATCCTCAATGACTATAATGGTGCAATAAGTTATGATAGAATTCATGAGTTCATAAAGCCGCAACGCGGCGAGGACGAAGTCCATGCAAGAGCATTTCCTTTAAATGACGTTGCTATTGACTTATATCATAGACGTTCAGTACCTCATGAAGTAAGAAGAGAAATGTTTGACATAACAAATGCAAACGTTGGTGAAACAAGAAGAAGAGACGACACACTGAAACAACAGAGAAGAGAGATGTTTAAAAGTGCTATAGAACAAGTTCGCAAAGCTAACGATGTCCATTCGTTCCATTGACGACAAACCAAAAGAAGGTGAGAGATGGTTAAAGAAAGATGAAGAGAATAGGAAGAGGAATGTTAAGACAGGCAATAGACTCATTGACTTTAACATCGAAGCTTTAGATGAACCAAACAGAGACTACTTACACAAACATTTCGGTAAGGTTTTCATGAGACTCTTAAAAAGATTAAAATAAACTCCCAACAAGATGGATGGTATGTTATAAACTGGTGGAAGTATGAATGTTCTACGTTAAATCTCAATAATATTGGAACATTACTACATCAGCTCTTGAAGGAGAACTTTATATCAGAGATAGAAGCAAATGCGCAGGTATTGTTGAAATGCACTATGACTTCTTCTTGACAAACATAAAGAATCTTACTGAAATAAAGATGTATGATTTAACAGAATATGAAGGCTTAACGATGTCAGATGTAAAGAAAGGCAAACCAAAAAGAGACCATATAGAGATGAAAGCACACTGACAAATGACCAGAAAGCCATTTTGGAAGCTCTTAAGCAAACAGGAAACCCAGCACTTATAGAAAGCTTTTGGAAAGATAATGGTGAAAAGAAGTTTTATAAGAAGAGAAGCGGTCAGTTCTGGAAGTATCTTTGCACATTACCTATAAATCTTGAACGCTACCAAATCTTCAATGAACTGAACAAAAGAACTGCAACACTTATGACAGAAGACAATTGTTTCGTTTAGGCTTGCATTCAGGCTGGAGTAAATGAAGAAACTATTGACCACATGAGAGAAGTCATTCGTGTTAGAGACTTTCCTCAAAGTAAAGTACAAGAAATTTCTGACGCAACAGGTATAGCATTTAATGTTACCATTGGTTACTTCAATGACTCAAGATATAATGAAATAAAGAGATACATACCAAAAGAATGTGAAACTGTTCGAACTATTGACCTACTTCTTGTTGAAGACCACTACATGCTAAACGAAAGACTTCCAATGACAACATACTTCGTCAGAAATTACAAAGAAATCTTGAAGGAGTGTGGTGGAATGAACATTGAGAAACAGATGAAAATATATACAAAGAGAGAGAACAAATATGTAGTTCGTTATGATAGAACAACACCGTTATGGGATGTTATGAAAACATTGTGGGAGTGCAAATATTTCGAACCTATTTCTTATGGAGAACTTTTCACATATACGACTGACTTATATAAACAGAACCTTGCACCATTTAAAGATTTGACATATGCTCCAAAGTATTGTGTACAACTGAAGAAGAAAGCAGAGTCAAAAGAAGTAAATAAAAATAAGTGCAAGTTCATTCCTGAGCACGTTTTCTTTGCTGACTTTGAGTGTAGCACAGACGGCTTTCATAAAGCTTTTAACATCTGTTATGACAGTGAAGATGGTTCAGTGAGTGAAAGCATTTGGGGTCAGAACTGTGCAACAGAATTTTTGGAACGACTTCCTGACAAGAGTTTAATATATTTCCATAACCTCAGCTATGACATAAACTTCATCTTAAGACACATGACAGAAGTGAAAGGAACTCCCATCATTAAAGGTTCACGAACAATGCAAATAACTGGTTTATATAAAGGAAGGGCAATTATTATAAAAGACTCTTACAGTGTTATAAATAAGAAGCTTAAACTATTTCCTGCTATGTTTAACTTACAAACAGGACCGAAAGAAGTATTTCCATATAACTACTACAGCAGTGTTTTGTAGCAAATGACAACAGAACTGGTGTCATTTCTGAAGCATGTAAGTTTATCCGGGATGCAGATACATTCATGAAAACATAGATTCCATCAAAGGTTGCAGAATAGATGAGAACCACTTCGACTTAGAAAAATATAGCACGTTTTACTGCAAACAAGATGTAAGAATTTTAAGAGAAGGTTTTTGTAAAGTTCCGCAATGACTTATTGAAAGAGTTTGATTTAAACGTTTATGACTACGTTAGTATTTGTTCTATTGCTAACAAATTGTTTGAGAACAGAGTATACTTCCCGAATGGAAATCTTTATGACCTCTCAAATAAACCAAGAGAATTTATTTCGAGATGCATTCAAGGTGGAAGATGTATGTTGTCAGATAACATTAAACAAAAGAGCAAAAAGAAACTCATTGCTGACTTCGACGCTGTTTCATTATATCCATCCGCTATAGCAAGACTTTATACTTTAGAAGGAATTCCAAAGGTTATGAAGGATGAGATGCTAAGCACAGAGTATCTCATGAGACATTTATTCAATGACGACCAAAAGGAACCCATTGGTGAAAAGTTTATGTCTGGCTTCTTTGTTCTCATTAAGATAACAGAGATTGGAATACATAGACACTTTCCTTTAATAGTTTGTGACCCTGAACTAAATCCAGAACTTAACGTTCCCAGAAGTTCAAACACTTGCTGTCTCATGTATGTTGACCATATAACATTACAGGACCTTATAAAATATCAAGGTGTCAAATGTGAAGTGTTGCAAGGATACTATTACGATGGAAACAGAGATATTAGAATAAGAGATGAAGTAAAGAAGTTGTTTGAGTTAAGGTTAAAGTATAAGAAAGAAGAAAACCCATTACAAGAAATTATAAAACTCATTCTGAACAGTATCTATGGCAAAACCATTCTATCTCCTATTGAGTCAAAAATAACCATAGTAGATGACAAAGATGCTATAAGATATGCCATCAGAAACTACAACCATATAGTTAAGTTCGAAGGTTTGGATGGTTCGGATAAAACTATTTTCAAGCTAACGAAAAGCATTTGCAGACACTTTAACTTCTGTCCACTTGGTGTAAATATTCTATCAATGTCGAAGAGAATAATGTGTGAAGTATTCTGTACTGCTGAAGACTTAGGAATGGACATCTTTTATAGCGATACGGACAGTATGCATCTCTACAATGAAGATATCCCTCGTTTAGCTGAAGAGTTTGAGAAACGTTATGGAAGAGTTCTCATTGGTAAAAACCTTGGTCAGTTTCATAGTGACTTCGCAGAAATAACACCTGGAAAACAAAGTTTAGCATACAAGTCAATATTTTGTGGAAAGAAGACCTACATAGACTTACTCACTAACGATTTAAATGAAGTTGCATTTCACTGCAGAATGAAAGGCGTGAAGCAAGATGTTATTGCTTTAACCGCTAATGAAATGTTTTCTGACTCTGTTCAGTGTTTCTATGATGAAGATAAAGGTTTAATGGTTCCGCAAGGAAAATTTGACAAAGACTCTGAGTTCAGTGTCATGAAGTTATATAAAGCACTTTATGACGGTCAAGAGATTGGATTTGACTTATGTAAGTCATGTCAACCTTGCTTTGCTGAAAAGTTTAACTTCTCAATAACGACTAAAACAAGCTTTATTCGTAAGTTGAAGTTCTGAGGTCATTTATTTTTGTCAGCAATGAGGTCATGAATGAGGTCATTTATTTTTGTCAGAAATGAGGTCATTCGTGATAAAAATAAAGCTAGCGTAGATTTTACAATACTGCGATGGTAGAGTTTAAGAGTTGTGCTTCAATGTAGAGACAGTCCTTATGGTCTGGAGGTAAGAACACTGGGCAGTTATGGTCATGAGTGGAGAACATGTCTATCCAAAACTCACGATTGAAGCCAGTTAATTTATAGTATATTTAGGGTTAGGAAGTGGTGAAGTTCTTGTATGACCAATGAACTCATTTTCAACTCCCTTACTTAAGTTTGAATATAATATAGCTTGCTTTCTATCCCAAATGCCAGGTGTTACAATCTTTGAAAATTCATTTTTCCTCGGAAGCATTGCATCATAATTGAAAACATTCTTGAAATCATCACTTGGTTCAGAGATTTGAAATCTTATACGTAATGGATTTTCTTTCTCTTTAGCTACTTCATTGAATGGTGAATATTAACAAACTGACAGTCATGTGTTCCATCTTCATTTTCATTAAATTCATAATGAAAGTCTATAAGTTGTGGCTGACTACCTTCTTCTTTCAGTTGTGCAAAAAACTCACGTAAAGGCTGTAAAGTTTGTACTTCAATGTTGAACTTTTTCTCGAACATTTCATTGAAGGAAATCATACATTCTTGTAAAGTTGTATCATCTTTAAAGTATTTGTATATGTGAATGTTTTGGGCGCTTAAAGACTGTTCGTCATTTTCTATCTCGACTTGAAGTATAAAGTCAACTTTCCTAAATGCACGTGTTATATACATAGATGTTATGCCAATGTACTTCTCTTCATTTATGTTCACAATCCAGTCTGTTGGAAACTTAAACGTTACTCTGTTCCCCTTTATTTTGACGTCAGGGTTTTCACTACTGAACGCAACAGATAAAGGTATTTGTCTATACATTTAATTCGGATAAAAATAAACCATTTACTCTTTCTTTGCTTCAGCTTCTTTAGCTTTTGCTTCAGCTTCTTCTCTAGCTTTCTTCGCCAGCAAACGTGGGTTCTTTTGTCTTCCAGCAGCTAATGCAGCAAGTTGTTTTTCACTAAGTTTTCTCTTTGGTCTCTCTGGCTTTTGTTCTTGTTTTTGTTCCTTCAGTTCGGATAAAATTTGCTCGCGAATTTCTTTCTTCAATGCTTCAAAATCTATGACCCCTTGGGTCTTGTCCGTAGGGCTTGTCTGAGTCATTTGACTGCAGATAAAAAACAAAATTAAAACTTTAACCGATGTAAAATGAGCTTGTCAAAATCAGAACGAGAGTCTATTATATTAAATGACGCCAGAGGAATACAACATCCTTTCTATTACGTAAGTCAGAGTAAAGATGGTAAAATATATGTAAGAAAAAGAAAGGTTCCATTAGCGAATGCAGAAAGCGACAACATTAAGGTGCATGGCAAGGGTGAAGTCCACGAAGCCCATATAAAACCTTCTGTTCAAACTGAGCCACCAAAAGAACCAGAAGAAAAGAAGCCAGATGTACTTTCAATAACGAACCAAGAGCTTATTGCAAAGTTCGTGAATTTCATTGAAAAACAAACCGAGTCAAAGAACCCTGACCCACCAGTGAAAGAAGTTGAGACAAAAGAGAATGTACAGTTCATTGAAAATGTCTAGAAACAACTTCCACCACGAATGCCAAGAAGAAGAGTGAGAATAATGAAGTAAATAGATATTTTTATCCGAAGTAAATACATGCAGAACGAACAGTTAAACGAATTTACTCCAGCAGAGCATATTCATCAGATTCGCTCATATTTCGATATCATAGACAATGCAGTTCAAATTGGTGACACTAATAGAAAATATTCTGACGCAAAGATTCCATCACAACCTGGAACTGCTAAAGATAACACATGGGTAACATTCAATCTCTCACCTCCTGGTGAAAATATGTTGGACCTTTACAATACATTCATTACGTATAAAATGGAAGGTCAATTTATTGCAGATAAAGAAATTGGTTCAGGTTCCAATAAAACAAACCCACCAGGATTTTGGATTGGTTTCGATGACGCTTTCTATGCAGTTGCTGGATATCAAATCCTTGCAAATGGTCGTATCGTATATTCTCAAGACAACGCAAGAGAAGAAGCATATATAACTTCAAACTCACAAACTACCGAACAAATAAAGAAAGTAGATGTTTTCTCAAAGACTCGACATGAAGATGTATGGAGTCATTCGGGAACATGCAGAACAGGACAAATTGTTAGTGGTCCAATTACAGCAGGAAAATCATTTGATTTTAAGCTTCGTTTAAGAATTCCTGTTAGAAAGTTTTTACCATTAGAAGCTATAAGATTTATTCCTGCATTTGCTGGTAACATTCAGCTTAAAGTAAAGTTCAGTAGCGACGCATTACAATGCACATCTATATCTGTAAATGATATCATTGCTTTCAATCCAACTCTTAAAGTTGCATTTGCTTCAGATTCAAATCCACCGACAAATAAATTTGTTCCATGGAATGAACCATTCACTATGATAACGAAGGCAATAGAAGCTAGTGGAACAGTTACTATTACAACTGTAACCCAGCAACTATTTCGAACAAAGATGGATTTTAATGAATGTTTCATTCATCCAAAGTCATTCTCTTTAGACCCTAACATTTATACAGAACTTGTAGAACATTATACAAACGAGGCTTTATGTTTTCCTGTTAAAGTTATGGATTGGATTCCTATGGACGGTTCATTCTCAAAGAATACAGATAGTTCAAGTGCAACATTTACAGCAGCTTATACGCCTATTAATGTTAAAAGTATTTGGGCACTATTTAGAAAGAAAGACAACTATTATGTTAATTTGAAACCCTAAGTTTAAATATCTTCAGCTTTCCATGGGAGCTTATGGAAAATATGCCTGCAGAACCTGAAAAATCATATGGACCTGTATTTATGAAATGGTTGCGAACGCTTGCAATACAAACAATGATATGATTGGATTTAATGAAGATGTTATGGTCATTGGTGGATGATGTAGTGTGGAACATAAATGGATAGCTATGACAACACACATTCTTATGTGGTTTTCCAACAGAAGTGGACTTTTGCTTCCAGCAAGGTCAAACATCTACTGCTCCAATAACATACAAATTGTCTGTTAAAGGACCTATTGAACTAGCAACTGAAAACGTACCAAAGCCACTTATTGGATTTATGAGGGATTGTTGCTTTGCAATACAAGTAAGACATCAGGCATACCAATAATAAGACTTGACGACTATAACTTAGCAACTGACGACAGTGAGGAATAAAGGATGAACGTTTATTTTAAAGCTTATAAATGAGTTCTTCATCAAGCTCTCGTGAACCTTCACCATCTATGAAACAACTTTACCAAACGATTATGGAGCACCTATTGAATATTTCTTACGAGCTGCACAATGGCAAAGAGCAGTCTCACCAAGGTTAGGTGTTCCACCAGCTCCTGTCAAAATAGCATTTGGTCAAGTCCTTATATAAAATATGGTCTCCCACAAGGTTGCTAGCTACAGCAGGAGCAGTAATGATGTTGAAAGAAATAAAGCAAATGTTGTAAATAATACTGAAGTAGCTGAAGTTAAACAAACTCCGACACCATCGCCAAAACCAACGCCTTCACAAACAACACCTTCAATGACTCCTGAACCTATGGAATTACAAACTCCTGTTCAAAAGTCAACTCCAAAACCGACTCCAACATTTAAACCAGAACCTACACCACAAATAAATCGTAAAACTCCTGCGTTTCCTTACTGAAAAAATAACGTTATTTTTATTTAATTTAAAATTTTTATTTGATTGAAATGACGACTAAAGTCACTGAAGCAATGAAACAAAAGTTTTTGGTAGAATACATTAAATCAGGAACTATTCCAGAAGGTTTTTACATTCATACTATGAAGGATGGTAGAGTTCAGTTTAGAAAGATAAAGCAACCATTAGATAAAGAAGGAATTTTGAGAAAGATTAAACTTCATGAGGACAACATTGCTGAACTTAAGAAGAAGTTAGAAGAGTTGGAGAAAGCAATGAATTCAACAGGGTAGAAATGAGGTTAGAAATCGGGTTAGAAATCGGGTTAGATCTCACCACTTCACCTAAATTTATTTTTGTGCTATGTTTTCATACGTGTGAGGGTGGTGATATCATTTATTTTTTATTTTATTTTTTTAAAATTATTTTTATTTTATTTGGATGTAATGACAGAACAAAAGCAACTCATACAAATCAAAACATATAACAAACATACATTTAAACATTTATTCTTCCTTCCTGAGCATAACATGTTCTTTCAAATACATCCGAGACCAGTTGACTTTTCATTGACTGTTTATAAAGATAGAAATAGTTATATCATTAAACCATACGATGACGAAGGTAAGTTATGTAAATTGTACGTTAAGAAGTTAGAGAAAGTTTATGGCTTCAAGTATGACTACAATAGGGTTAACACTGATGATGAAGATATTGAGGAAAATTTATGAGAACATTAGTGAAGTTGTTAGTGAGAACGATAGTGAGGTGAAATTGTTGGCGGCTTTGTAAATATTTAAGGTTAAGTTAGTTTTTGCGTTCATGTTGTAAAATATACGTTAATGGTTTTGTAAAGTGTCAAATTCACAAGTATTGGGTAAGGTGGAACGCAGTGCCACCATACCCAAGACTTGTATACTAACTTCTCTTGTCATTCCTTCAAAAACTCTAATCTCATCGCACTTACAAACATCATGATTTGATGTATTGTCGAGAAATCTTAGACTTGTTTGTCATTTGATTATAGCATTTGAAAGTCATCTCGAAAATCGATTAACAAGACAATTTCCCAAACATCTACATACAAGTAGATGATGGTAAACCCATTAGAGTTGTTTTTCTATGATTCCTCCAATCTTATGATGAGAAAAATCATATCAAAACAGCTCTAATCGAACATTCTACACAGCTTAGCATCCAGCTAGTTCCAAGTAATGCGATTACAACATCAACGGCCAAAGCCTTTCAGAGTCCTTTAATCATTTCTTCTCATCTCAATGTGAATTGGCCCCAAACGAACTACAAGCTGACGTTACAACGCATTACAACCCGGTTAATACGAGCATATACATTAGAGCTGCTTTGTTATGATCTCCCTCATCAATTGATGAGAGATCTCATTATGAAGCAGCTCCAATCGAACTAAAAACCTACATACAAATGAGTGAAAACAAACTCATTAGAGTTGTGTTGCTTTGATTTCTCTCATCAGAAGATGAGAGATACCAGAACAAAACAACTCTAATCAAACTTTCTACACAACTCAGCACAGTATCAATGCAAAGTAATGCGTCTGTATCGTTAACAAGCAAAGTTGTTTCAGGTCCTTCCATTTTGGAAGAATTCGGAACAACTTTGCAAATTGATAGTGTAAACCCATATACATGAAAGCGTGCATGCATAAAGACAGGTATTGTCAGCAATGACTACCTGCCCAGCTATGAGTGATCAGAGAATTACCATCTCAGGCTTTTTGAGAACGTTTCAGCCAGGACCCTCGTATGTTGACTGTGAGAAAGGCATCCTTTATCTGAAATAGATGCTTTTCCAACAATCAAATTCGAAGATCTTCGACGTTGTTGTAAAAAAAGAAGGAGAAGGAAAGAAGAGGAAGGAGAGAAAGAAGGAAAGGAAAAGAAGAAGAAGAAAAAAGAAAAAAAAAGAAGGACATATTAAATATAATGCGCACTTAATAGTGCCGAGGCGGCGGAGCCCCCGAGGCGCGATTTTTTTGACCCTATATTACCGCACGGCAATGTTTTTCTCGATTTTGTACAGCCCTAGTTTAAGTATTTATTTTCGATAAATATTCTTTAATTTTATTTGGAAATTATATAAAAAGTGACAAATGATTAACGATGATGATATTAAGACCCTTCAAGATAGAATTGAGAAACATATTGATGTTGGCAATACAGCACAAGTTCTGTTATTTCAAGATATCTTAGCTGAATCGAATTTACAAACAAAATTATCAAAATTATGTAAATTATCTTTATCAATATTTGAATCCAATGTAAGAACTGGTGATAGTACAATATTAGAACAAAATTCACGTCTTATTTCACATCTAAATCACTGTATTGCTTTTTTTCAAATATTATGTTCAGATAATCAATCCGATCCTTCGAAATTACAGTTATTTTTGGCATCGGAGCAATTCCAGTATACATATAAATTAGTCCCAAGGTCATATTTCTCAGATTTATCCGAAAAAATTAAAAAGTTAATCGATTCAATAAAATCCGATCCGAATCAAAACTCACAGCTTGCAGACTTCAATGGTATTGATCTGCCATCCAAAATTAAAGAACTAAGGATACTTAAAACAAAAGTCGATTTTCTTCAAAAACCGGATGAAATAAAAGCTGCATTTGATGAAATATGTTCTCTATTCGAGCTTTCTGCATTGATACTTGATCTTTCTACCCAAAAATCAGTAAATAATGAAGATAAAATTTTATATGAAAAGAAAATCTCTAATTTGACTGCAGAGAATGAACGTATAAGAGCACAAAATAATAAATCCACAATAGATGAATACGAAACTAAAATATTTGACTTAAAAAATCAAATATCTTTACAAGAACAAAAGATTCAAGAACTTGAAAGCGAAAACTTGAATTTTCAAAACAGATTTTCAAATTTTGAAAAGAAAAATAACGAACAAAACAAATATATCAAAGATCTTGAGGAAGAAATCGAAAGCAAAGAAGATTCTCTCACAAAGTTGCAGGTCAAGTTCTCTGTTCTTCAAAAACAATCAGAAATTTTGAAAAATCAAATGTCAAATTTTGATGAGAGCAAAATTGAGAAATTGGAGAACGATTTACAGGCAACTAATAACCAATTGCTTGCAAAAGAGAAATCGCTGAGTTCTTATCGTGAAAGGATCCAAGATTTACAAAATAATTTAGCTGAGAAGGAGCAAAATGAAGAGAATATAGAAATATTCAAGCAGAAGATTTCTGATCAAGAAGATTTGCTGAAACAAGCGAATATTTTGATAAATAATAAGGAAAACCAAATTATCAGTTTGAAACAAGAATTTTTGACTGCTAAAATGGAATTTGATAAGTACATGCAAGAACAGCAGCAAAAAGAAGAGGAAATTGTATCTCTTCAGTCTGAAATTTCGAAATTAAAAGAAATTCAAACAGAAGCTGATGATTTAAGAGACAGTTTGCGTGAAAAGTCATTAACCATTGATCAGATGAGTGAAGAACTCCGTAATCTCCCAGAAAGACAGCAATTATTAGAAAAAATTGAGCAATTTCAGGAAGAAATAGCAAAATTGACAGCAACTGTTGATTTATATAAGAAGAAACAAACAGAAAATGACGAAATTTCAGAAAATTTGAAAAATCTCAAAATTGAAAACCAAAATTTGAGAGAAAAACTTGCTCAAAACGAAGAAAATCTTGTGGCAATCAAATCACAAATCGAAACAAGTCACAATGATGTTGAAAATCAGAAGAAACTCTATGAAGAAAAAATAATTAAATTGAAAAACAAAAATAAAGAAGATCTTCAAGGTAAAAACAATCTTATTAACTCTCTTAAGCTTATGGCGAAGTCCCTTGAAACAGATAAAAAGAAACTTTCGGTTCAAATTAATAAATTAAAGAATTCTTTGAGTGAAAGCCAAAACAAAGTAGATACTGAAGAATACAATAAGATTCAAGTTGAGAACAGTCAACTTAAACAGCAAAACCAAGATATTTCTAAGGAAAAAGAAAATATCTCAAAGAAATATCAAGAAGTACAAGAGAAACTTAAAGACTATGATCTGATGATGACTAAAATCACTCAAATGGAACAGAATCAAAAGGAAACAAAAGGTTTCATGACAAAAATGAGTCATAAAATTAATGAACAAGAAAATCAGATCAAAAAGCTTACGAAAAAGATATCATCACAGAATACCTCGTTGCAGGAGAAAGATGATTTGATCCAACAGCTTAAAACTGACAATGAAAATTTGACAAATCAAGCTGAATCATTTAGAGCAAGCCAACAAGATTCTACACTTCTGGAAGAGATATCTAAGACAGCCTCGCAAGCTGAGAAGCTTAGAGAAAAGAATCTGGCATTACAAAGTTCAAATGAAGAGAAAAAGAAGAAAATGAAGGTGTTTAGGAACCACATTTCCTATCTATCTGAGCAGAATGAAAAACTTTCTGCTGAAAACAAAGAATTAAAATCAATAATTGATTCTCCAAAAAGAAATCAAAATAAGTCATCGTTCTTGATTAACAGCTATGCAACATCTGAGGATTCGTCTGTTTCTTCCGTTTTCGAGAATAGGAAATCAATTTTACTTGAAAACTATATGGCAAGGGGCCATTCAAGTGATAAATTGTCTAAGGCCAACAAATTGAGTGAGAAGTTTGATAAAGAACTCTCGGAAATATATCAATAGAATATTATTTTATTTTGTTATTTTGTTATGTATTTAAAATATTAGTTTTACTATCTTTATTTGCAGGACTTTTTAAATGAACTAGTTATGTTTCCTATTACTCTTGAAATTTTTACGAAATTAAAATGACATGACGATTTGTCCCATTTGACATAGCTCAGTTAGACAATTACGCTATTGGCTATGAATCTCATCCTAAAAGAATACAAGAAAAAAAAATCAATAAATTACAACAGAAACTGAGATTTTTAAAACATACACTTTGTAAAATGTTATATCTATTATTGGTGATAAAATATAAAAGTGATCTTAAAATTAATATCTGATAAAAAAACCTTGAAGTTAAAGAAGACACAAAATGAAGTCTCGAAAAAAAAATATGATGGCTTGTATAAATGGATATCATATTTGAAAATCCGAAATTTTAATTTGTATGAAAACTATATAAAACCTCAATGAAGATTAAAACCCGCATACAACGAACAAACGCTGTATAACCATAATCTCATTGAGATGATGAGTAAGAAAAACAATTTCCAAGAGCTGATGGAGAAGTCGGAGCGGAGGCAGCGTACTCTCCAAACAGGGTAGACCAATGATCTGTAGATTGCGAGCTGCATCTGACCAGCTGAAGTTTTGGTCTGGCTGGCCTTTTCTGTTGGAGCATCTCGCGAGCATAGAAAGAATGACTTCTACGAAGTTCGCCATTATTAACAAATCTTTCTTCGCGCATTGGGACATAACCACCAATGCACAAATCTGGCATCTCCTCGTAGAAGCGGCGATATCCGCCTTCTAAAAGGAATGTATTAGGATAGCTTAAGTTTGGATAGCTATTATGATGTCTGTCGTATTCCCTGAACAAGCTTAGAAGAGTTGGTCCACGGTTCTGTGAGAACTCGCAATGGACAACGATACATACGTTTTGCCCAAGAAATCTCTCATAAATACCAATCATTTGGGACTTAGAGCGTATGTTGCGTGCACCAACAATTCTACCGCCATGAAATTCGTACTCAAATCTGGCATCGAGTATGACTACTTGGTTGAAACCAAAAGAAAAGGGATCATTTATAAGCTGGGCTAATTGCTTAGGTGTAAGCGTTTTAAATGGTCTCTGGTTATCTGAAGACGCCAACAGAGATGGCGAAAGAATGTCTTCCGAAAGAATACCTCCGAATTGGGCTTGATTTGGACTATTACAAATGTCGTCGAAATCGGGGAGAGGGAGTTCGGCCTTAAATTTAGATGATCCAATGCAAGTAAGCATATGATTTTATCACTAAGACCTCTGATTTTTTTTTTAAAACGTTCATAAAAATTGATACACAAACAAATATTGAATTAAACCGATGTCCAGAATGCGTTTTTGGTTCATTTCTTCATCAATTATAGATATATGATTGATAATAGATCTATTTTTAGCGCATTTTAATTTAAAAATTTTCCAGAATCGAAATCTAATGTTATTTAGGTTTGGATTATTGAGAAATATGTTAAATCATTTTTAAATTGAATACTAATTTTGAACAAAATTTGAAATTAATGATAATTATTATCGGGCATATCCTGGCTTGGATGATTGATGATTATCACATTTTATTCACAATTATATTTTGTGAAAATTATTCAAAAGTCATAAAATAAAATTAGAGCGTATTGAAGGATGCAAGTATAAATTGTAGTAAATTGCTTAAAAAGTGAATTGATAAGATTTCAATGATTTTGGTTGTCCAGTCTAATTTTCTATTAATAAAGGATTTATCATTATAAATTCTTTTTCAATAATTGAATAGTTGAAATGTGAAATCTTAAAATTAAGATATGTATGCATGTGTTGACATATTTGCTAAAAATTGAACTAATAAGAAATTCAATGATCTCTCAATCTTAATATCTTCAACAACTTTGCAATATATCATTATGTAATAACATTTTCAAATAAATAAATTTTCAAAATATAATCGTTTTTTATATTTTAGTAGTATATGAGAGCGGGTTGTGTGACTTTTTTTGTAAACGTAAGAATTCATACAATATTGAACGATTTTGTATCATTTTTTTTAACATATGAAGTAAAAAATGTATGATTCTTACGGTTTTTATTCTTACGTTTTTGAATAAATCAAGATTTAAAAAATTTTCAAAAATGTAAGACATTTACACTCAGCCCATACATAATGAAATAAAAAATAAATTTTTTTAAAAATTCATGTCTTACATTTTTTGAATAATTTATTTTTTATTTTGTATGAAATGAGTGTCACAACTAACAACGTTAAAAAATTGGGATTCACAAACGAGGAAATAAAGGATATATTAGAGGAGGCGGGTTATGAGGTTGATAGATATTATTTAAGAAATTGTCAAAAATTTGCCGAGTTCTTAAATGAATTTGATTATGATGGAAAAATGAATAAAGATGATGTTATAAATTTTTTATATCCCGCATCTAAAAAAGAAGAAAAACCAAAAGAACCTGATGTTTTCCCTGAATATTATGAAGAACGGATTAAAGATGATGATGAATATGATGAAATTGAAATTGAAAGATTGGAAAAAATAAGAGATGAAATAGATGAAAAAATTAAGGAATTAAGAGAAGTTGAAAAATATAATGAAAATGAAGTAAAGGGTTTAATGAATATCCCAGCTTCAGAATCAGAAGTTCAGAAATCGCATGAAGAAAGATATAAAAATTATGTCTCAGAATCAACACAAAATTTATTAGATGGTGAAATAGACGAAACACTTTCAGAAGAAGGTACTAAATTTATTCATAAACATAAGTTACAATTTATTGATAATGAAGAATACCCCTGTATCCTACTTTCACCCCCTCTCGATTCCGAAAAATTCAAAAAAGCTCTTAAAAACGTGACATATGCAACTAATACGATTAAGAAAGAAGATCATGATATTTACACAAATTATTATTTAAATAAATGCACAGGTGTTGATAAAGTTTTTGATTTATTAGATAAAATATCAAAAGAAACCATTGGAACCTATAAAATTTTGTGTGATTGTGGTTTCATTGTTGAAGATACCAACAATGTTTCATATGAAAGAACAGCACCGAAGGAAGACGAAGTGGAAAGGTCTATACCATTCGTTATTAAGAACATAAAAAATATGAAAACGTATAAGCATTATATTTATTCATTTATTTCAGAAAAAATGGAAGCAACCCATAAAACATCTTCTCATCATTTTATAGCTATTCATACATTCCTTTTCAAAGTTGTGAAATTAAATAAGACAGGAATTAGATTTAATGTATCAGGGTACACATTCTTGAGTAAATTAAAATGTATTCGTCACGTCGCAGATGATAAAAATTTATGTATTCTTAATTCATTTTATGGGCTTTGAAAAATAAAGTTTATTTTTATTCTTACATAAATGAACAAAAACGGAACAGCTAAAATGAATGATAATCAAATTAGAGCAGAAGGTAAAAGGTTATTTAAACGCTTTTATAACATTCCTGATGGTGTTAATCCTAAAACTCGTAGAAGCTATTTAAATGAAACAATAGATGCGTATGACGGGTTTGACATTTCATCAGAAAGTGAGAGATTAGCGAGAATGTTAAATGTTAATATTGATTTCTATTATTGTGATCCTCAACCAGAAGACGTGGACATAAATAAGGTAGACTTTCCATTAGTGGAAACAATAATGATAGATCCAGAATTTGAAACAGTAAATATTTTATTAACACAGAGTCCATGTGGAAAACTTCACGCTGACAGAATAACAGACGTTGAAGCACTCACTGGCTATAAAGTTTGTCCTTATTGTAAAGAAGAAGTTTATTCTATCCGTGATGATCCAGAAAGGAAAAACCAAAGAAGATTTTTAAAGCATTGTGAGAAATGTAAAGAAAATAATGGGAGATTAATTCAAGACGTTCAGTTGCAAAAGACACAGCAACCATATGCACCACATATTACGAAACAGAAGATATATCAGTGGTTATTAGCTCATAATTTACAGGAATATTATCAACCGACAAGATATTATATTACTTTTGACTTTGAAACATTAGAGACTAAAGAAGAACTACAACTTTCTGAGTGTGCAACTTTGAACGCTTACTTAAAACCATTCATGGTATCATCAACGGTTAAATTAAACGATAAAACATATACGAAGAATTTTTGCTTAACTTCGAGTGATTCTTTTATTTCTGATTGGATTGAGTTTTTATTTTCAACCTGTTCATTAGTTGCTAAATCAAATATTGAACAATACAATGAATTATTGAAGTCGCAAACATTAAATGAAAAACAGAAGGAAGCATTTAAAGAACTTCTAGATGGGGAATTCAATAAAGTGAATATCATAGGTTTTAATTCGGGAAAGTTTGATTTAAATTTAATTCTTCATGATTTAAACACTGCAAAATGGAAAATAAAATCAATGCTGGGTTCATCTTCACAATTTAAGCAAATCATTGTAAAGAAATCAAACGTTCCATATGAATTGAGATTTATTGACATCAGAAATTATATAGCGGGTGGAACATTAGACCAATTCACTCAAGATTTCGGAAACAATAAATCACGTGTTAAATCCTTTTTCCCTTATCAATTCATCACGTGGGAAAATTACGAAGAAGAATTATATAAAGAGGAACCATTCACTCAAGATTCATTTTATTCAGCATTAACTCAAGAAACTATATCAGATAGTGATTATCAAATATATCTCAATGATGCTAAAAATTTTAAGAATAGATTAGAATATTTTATTCATTATTGCAATAAAGATGTTGAAATTATGATTGACCTAATTGATAAAATAATTGAAGAAACATTTGTTTATAAAATTGACATGCTTCATAATCTTTCTTTATCATCGAATGCTTCAATGATTCGTTACGCTTTAGCATATAAAGACTTTAATCCTAATGAAAAATATCCTGAGGAAGAGATAGAATCAAGTTTTGAATTAACGAAAAAGTATTGGAAATATAAAATTGAATCATATAAGAAACAAGATGAAAAAGCAGAAAGAGATACTAAAAATAATGTTTCAATGGATGATTTTCAATACTATCACGATTTAATCCTTTCATCTAAATGTAAAATGTGTGGTAAAGTGTTTACATATGCAAATAAACCAACATTGGATAGAATCGATAATGAAAAACCACATACTAAAGGAAATTGTCAGTTAATGTATTGTTATTGCAATGTCGTGAAATCAAATAAAGATGAAGATGTTCAACGTTTAAGAATCAATTTAAGAAATTATGCATTAAAAAATAATTTACCAATGACTTTAGATTCGGTTGAAGCTTATCACATTCTCCGTAATGGAGTTACTGGTGGTCTATCAAATGTTCAACATCGTGTTAATCTTAAAGGAATCACGCACATTAATAAACTTTCATATAATCCAGAAACTAAAACTGTATCAAATGAGGACACCACCAACATTATGACTCATTTCGTTGGTGTTGATTTTAATTCATTATATCCTTCATCATTTTCATCTAATCCTCATGATTTCATTCAATATACTGACCATAAAATGTATATGCCGGGAAGATTGAATGGTGTTATCATTTGTGATACAGCAACAAAGAAAGCAAAAGCACTGGGAATAATTAAGAAAAAAAATACTTTATTCGTGGCTGAAGTAAAGGGTCACATTGATGAAAAATACATTAATGATTACATAAACTTTTTACCGATAATAAGAAACTTAGATATTATCACAGATGAAAAAACAATTGGCAGTTTTATGTATAATTACATGAAATCAAACAATTTACCGGTTGACCAGAAACAAAGAAAATTAACTCAGTTAGCATCAACACACAACCAATATCAACCATTTTCTTCTTATTATCTATGGTATCTAATCGACAGATTTCATTTTATCATCGATGATATTCAATCAATTTTAACATTTACGAAAAACACTTGTTTTAATGAATTTGCGAACAAATTTATGAACGAAAGACAAAAGGCTGAATTAAAAGGAAATAAAGGAAAAAGTTTATTTTGCAAGATTTCACTTAATGGATCATATGGTTACGATGCAATGAATACACAAAATTACACAAAGACTAAAATAATGAATGCACAGAAGGCACGCGTTGCATGTATGTCAAATAAGTTTAAAAACATAAGAGAAATAGGAGAGGATACATATCAAGTGATGCTCAAAGATAGATTTTATAGATGTGATACATGTTTACAAGAGGCATTCTTCACTTTAGATAACGCAAAATACTGGTATTTGGTTTTCATTTATGATTTTATGTATAAATGCATGAATGTTAATCGTTTTCATTTCATTGAAGGTGATACTGATTCATCTTATTGGGCAATCGCTGGCGACCCAAATCTTCCTAACACTCAAGCATTTCAAGCAATTGTTACTGATAAACAATTTTATGATAAAAACATTTTCAAATTCGCACCATTTGATTTCTTCTGTTTTGATGAGAAATTTAAACCTAAATTAAAGAATAAAGCTGAAGAAAAAGCACATGAGAAGAAGTTATTGGGTTTAGCAATTGAGAAACAAGGTGATAACATGGTTGCTTTATGCCCTAAGTGTTATACATCATTCAACGGTTCAATTGATGGAAGTGATTTTAAAAAGATTGCACAAAAAATGAAAGGTGTTAGTTTACGACAAAATAAACAATTAACACCTAAAAATTATTTGGATATAATAAATGATAAAGTGATATTTGATGGTCAAAATATTAATTTACAACTTAAAAACAGGTCGATGACTCGCTTAACAATCGGTAAAACTGCATTAACAGGAGCACACACTAAGGCTGTATGTTGTGAAAATGGATGTTGTATGCCATTTATTTAATACAATTTTAAATTTTATTTTTAATAAAATGCCACAGAAGAGACAAAAGGAACCGTTAATAATGGTTTTGATACTTGATCAAAGAGGTGGGCACCCTTAAACATTTATTTTATTTTTATATAAATGGATAATGTAGATTTAAAAATTTTAATTGATGATTTAGTATTTAATCAAAATTTTCTTACTTATTATGACTTAAAATCATATCTCCAAAAACATGATCCATATATAACGGGTGATGATATGGATTATTATTATCCGTATTATAAAAATGAAATTTTGAAATATCATGATAGAATAATTTCTAAAATTAAAGACAAAATCGAAAATAATGAATATTCAAAGGGAAAAACTAAATCACAACTTAAACAATTGAAAGATTTCAAAAATAAAGTATTAACAGAAGAAGATATTGATGAATTATATAAATTATATAATCCTGAGCCGCAAAAACAAAAGGAACAAAACGCCCGGGTCCTTCAGACCATAAATGATGCACAAGCTTTAATTTATGATTCATTAGTTAAACCATATTCAGCCCAACTTTTAAATGAAGATCAACTTTTAGAATTCATCCTTCAACATAAACTCGAAGCTGGAAAGTATATCAAACCTTTATATACAGTATATTTAAAACAAATGAATAGAATACATCCAGAATTAATGAAAGGAGGAATGAAATCCAAAACTTCATCATCCAAAATCAAAGCGGATAAAATTAAACCTCCAACGACAGTACCTCCTCCTCCTTCAGTTAATCCTTCATCATTCACTTTATTATATCCATTTCAAACATTAAAGAAGCAAAAAGATTTTAAAAAGGATTTCAAGATATTAAATAAACCAATTGACCTGAAAATTCAACCGTTAAAGGAAAAATTTGGTCGCCCTTCATTTGCACCATATCCATATTCATACGAAATCGATCATCTGGAATATTCAAAGGGAAACGTTACTTATTTATTTGCCATTAACATTAACACTAGATATTTATATTGCATTCCAGTGAAAGGGAAAACAGAACAGGAAGAGAGCTATACAATACTTACTAGATCATGAAAGAGTAGATAATATAAGGGGTGATGGCGATAAAGGATTTCAGGCAGCTATGGCTCATTATTTCCCACAAATTAATTTTTTCTTTTCATCCTCTCCATATACGTTTCATAATAAAATAGTTGATGCGGTAATGAGAACTCTTAGAGATGCGTTAGGGTTAACGGTCAGATATACTGGGATGGAAATCATGACTCCATCATACAGCAGTTAGTATATTATTACAATAATTCATGGCATAGAACTATAAACATGAAACCAGTGGAAATGAAAAATGATATTTCAAAAGAATGGGAATATATTAGAAAGCAAATGGAAAGGTTAAATGATGTTAAACATGAACAAATTAATTCGGGGCTCATGAATTTTAAACAAGGGGATAAAGTTTTGATTCATCTCGATTATGGAAAAACTGATAAATCAATGACAAAAAGAAGACGAAGATTTGACACAATAGCTGAATTTGTTAGATATATTAACGGTAATGCATTAGTTGAGGTTAACAATAAATTAATAGAAATTCCGATTTATTTTATTACTCCATTATATTTAAATAATATTTAATTTTTTTTATTTCGTAAGAAATGAGTGACAACGAAGCATCCAAGAGTCCAGACGATGAATATAAAAAGAAACTAAACAAAATTAAATCAAAAATATGCTATTACAAAAAGAAGCCGCAATGTGGTGGGGTTGAAAACGATAAAGAGAGGAAAGAAATAATAGAAAAATTAGAAACTTACCGTTCAATCCTTAAACTGAGTGAAGCAAAAATAAAAGAATTTAATAGAATAAATAAATTGATTGGAAGGGATGAATTTAATAAAGATGAATTTTTAAACTCAATCCAAATTTAATTTTTATTCCTCTTCCGTCAATGGTTTCCCGAACCCTTCTGGGTTCTTCTTTCCATCATTACTGCATAACCACATCTTCTCAGTTTTTGTGGTTTGTTGTTGTTTTTAATTAGTTTTTGCATCATTTTTATCATTTCCTCCCTTGTTATGATTCGTGGTAAATTTTGAGCTTGTGGGGTGTCCATTTATATAAAAATAAAATTTTGTTATCAGTAATGTTATCGTCAATGATTTCATCGTTAATGCTTTTGTCATGATTTCATCGTGAATGCTTTTGTCAAACTTAAACGTGAATGTTATCGTCAAACTTAAACGTGAATGTTATCGTCAAACTTAAACGTGAATGCTTTTGTCATGATTTCATCGTGAATGCTTTTGTCAAACTTAAACGTGAATGTTATCGTCAAACTTAAACGTGAATGTTATCGTCAAACTTAAACGTGAATGTTATCGTAATGTTATCGTTAATGGTTTGTCATGATGTTATCGTTAATGCTTTTGTCATGATTTCATCGTGAATGCTTTTGTCAAACTTAAACGTAATGAGTGTAAATGACCCAAAATAATGTTTAGGTGAAGTGGTGAGATCTCACCTCTTTTTTCACCCTCATGAATTTTCACCAAATATGATGTTATCGTCATGATTTCATCGTTAATGGTTTTGTCAAACTTAAACGTTAATGCTTTTGTCATGATTTCATCGTGAATGCTTTTGTCAAACTTAAACGTAATGAGTGTAAATGACCCAAAATAATGTTTAGGTGAAGTGGTGAGATCTCACCTCTTTTTTCACCTTTTTTTTCACCCTCATGAATTTTCACCAAAAATAATGATTTGTCATACTGTTTGTACTCATATTCTTCATTTATAGCTTCATGGACTATAACTGTTGTTGTGTTCTCTGATGTTGTCATTACTGTCTTTACATGTATTTTTCAGCAACTTCGTCAAATAATTTTATAGCTTTATCTATCTCATCTACTTCAAACGTTTCTTTACCTTTCGTGGGAGCACCATACATTTTCTCAAACTTTTCAAGTAGTTCTGTTTCAGCAGCTCTCATATCATTAACGAACACAACCTTGACTCTATTGACTGTAGAGTCATATCTTTGAGTTATATTATATGTTCTTCCTATCTTATATCTCTTTGTATTGAAGTCCTTCGGTTTCTGAACGATGTAAAGTAAGCCTTCACTGCAACGTTCCGTATCGAATGAACCATAAGTTATGAAGTTATATCCAACAACTGGGTCAATCCATAGAAGAATTATCGGTATAAGACTTTTGTCGATGAGATATGCTGTAGTTCCATAGAATCTTACTGATATCATAAGCTCAGGATTTCTTGTCAAAATTTTCTGAGTAGAAGCAATTCTAACCCAGTCCTTTGTTTTCTTTCCAGATGGTGTTAGAATGTCTGACAAAGAATATTTGTTGTATTTCTTTGAGTATCTTACGTTTAAATCACCAATTCTAACCACTTTGGTGTCATTGTCAATCTTTCTAACTGTTTCAAACTCAATGTTTGTCATTTCTGTTCTTACATACGAAATAAAAATTTTTCTTAGAAAAAAATTAGCGTTATTTTTGCAACTGTTTCAAACTCAATGTTTGTCATTTCTGTTCTTACATACGAAATAAAAATAATTTAGGTGAAGTGGTGAGATCTCACCTCTTTTTTCACCTCTTTTTTCACAAGCGTTTTACATGAATTGTATGATGTATATTTGAAATCCTAAACAATTTCGTAGCTTCTATTTCTTCTTTTAGTACATCGAATATTTTAACAATGCCGAAAGTCTCTTTATATTTCTTCTTGACGTCAGACAGAAGGAAATCTTCTGCTGTTGGATAGTTTTTGTTCAGAAATGCTAACATGTCCATTTTATTTTCTGCTGGTTTTTCTGCTTCTTTCTTTAAGTCTGCATAGTCGTTTCGCATTCTTTCTATCTCTTTGACGGAGTAGTTATATTTCCTCATTGCTGCTTTACATTTAGAACATTGTGGATTCATTTTTGCGTTATACATTGAAATAAAACCAGCTAGAACAACCAAGGCGTCAATGGTTTTCTTTAACTCAAACAAAGCGGGTCTTATTTGTTTGTTCCATACTTTGCCTCTTCTATCTTTATCTCTTATTTCCCAAACACATTCTGCAACTAATGAAACAAAGTTGTCGTATGTCTTAAATTCTTCGGATTTGTAAAGGTCAGAGATGTTCTTATATACCATGTCGCAATCTTTGTCCATAACTTTATGGTTGCAATGAAAACCAAGGAATTCATAATTTACTTTACGTATGAATTTCTTAATTTCTACTGAGTCAGTTACTTTGACTTCAATTTCGTCGAAATCGGGAATAGTTAGTTTTTGCTGCTGGATTTCAGGTAGTTTAGGCAAATGGTCAATAATATCCTGCATGTCATAAAGCAACTGTTCATTTGATTCATCTTTCGCACTACAGTCTAAATTACTTGTTAAAAGTTCTTGCTTTATCTTCTGGATTTCTGTTTCAAAAGTATATGAAGAAGGAATAAAGTTTTTCATCTCTAACAACATCGATGTAGGATTCATGCCTAACGAGTTTGGTGAGGTTGTTTGAATTGTTGTTGTTGTTGTGCCGATTGTTGAAATCATATCTTTTATACAAAATAAAAAATAAATAAAAATAAAGTTAGTTTTATTTATCTTAAGAAAATTCATAACAAAAGCATGAGGTGAAAAAAGAGGTGAGATCTCACCACTTCACCTAAATTATTTTTGGGTCATTAACGATAAAGCATTAACATTTAAGTTTGACAAAAGCATTAACGATAAATCATTAACGACAAAGCATTAACGATGAAATCATTAACGACAAAGCATTCACGATGAAATCATGACAAAGCATTAACGATGAAATCATGACAAAAGCATGAGGTGAAAAAAGAGGTGAGATCTCACCACTTCACCTAAATTATTTTTGGGTCATTAACGATAAAGCATTAACGTTTAAGTTTGACAAAAGTATTAACGTTTAAGCTTGACAAAAGCATTCACGTTTAAGTTTGACAAAAGCATTAACGATGAAATCATTAACGTTTAAGTTTGACAAAAGCATGAGGTGAAAAAAGAGGTGAGATCTCACCACTTCACCTAAATTATTTTTGGGTCATTAACGATGAAATCATTAACGTTTAAGTTTGACAAAAGCATGAGGTGAAAAAAGAGGTGAGATCTCACCACTTCACCTAAATTATTTTTGGGTCATTAACGATAAAGCATTAACGTTTAAGTTTGACAAAAGCATTCACGTTTAAGTTTGACAAAAGCATTAACGATGAAATCATTAACGACAAAGCATTCACGATGAAATCATGACAAAAGCATTCATGACAAAAGCATGAGGTGAAAAAAGAGGTGAAAAAAGAGGTGAGATCTCACCACTTCACCTAAATTATTTTTGGGTCATTAACGATGAAATCATTAACGTTTAAGTTTGACAAAAGCATGAGGTGAAAAAAGAGGTGAAAAAAGAGGTGAGATCTCACCACTTCACCTAAATTATTTTTGGGTCATTAACGATAAAGCATTAACGTTTAAGTTTGACAAAAGCATTCACGTTTAAGTTTGACAAAAGCATTAACGATGAAATCATTAACGACAAAGCATTCACGATGAAATCATGACAAAAGCATTCATGACAAAAGCATGAGGTGAAAAAAGAGGTGAAAAAAGAGGTGAGATCTCACCACTTCACCTAAATTATTTTTGCTGAATTCAACAACAAAATGAACGAGGTCAGGATGTCATGTTGTCATCAATGAACTCTATACCATGCGAATACAGTCATAAATGGTGGCATATAATCTTCACCCGAGCCTGTTGGATTTGTTGTGAAAGTATGTGAATGATTTCCTCCCGGTTCAGTTTGTCGAAAAGTCTTTTTTGTTGAATGGTTATAATCTGGAGATAAAACGTCATTGCCAGCTTCATACTCTGAGTTGTATAATGGGTGATCTCTTAATGAGTGTCTATGGTCGCCAGAAAAGTTTGTAGTTCCTGTATGAGTGTGTGGTGGAAGGTTTGCTTCTTTAATTTTCTTCGAACCTCCTGTTTCCTTTGAAGAGTTTGCACAATACAAAAACCTGTCGACTATTTGTTCCCATGCACCAACACCAAACATTACTTGAGGACCTTTTGCATCCATAGATGTATAAATAGAACCTACTGGGTTCATTAAATCAAACATATGAGATATTATAGGATTGTCTCTTTTGAACTTAAAATATAATGCAACTATTTCAGGTTTCTTCTGGTTTGTGTCGGAATATTTTTTATAATATAATCTTATGTTTTCAGGGTAGGTAAAGTCTTGACTATAATATTTATTTCTGTCATCTGTATAATAATATACTATTCTCGTTTTTTCTATTGCATTATATCTTTTATATCTATAATAATCTAAATATAATGTTAGCTTTTGTTCATCTACATGCGGTGTTCTGTCGTCATCTCCATAGTCATAATAATATGGTGCTGGAGCTGGGTCAGGCAATGTCATATCTGCCATTTCATAAACTCTTAAATATTCCTTTTGTTCGTCTTCATATAAGTTTAAGTAGCAGTTGTTGTCTAATGGAACTTTAACTTGTGCACCATCATTCTTTTTATAGCTTACATACATTTCATTGTTATTTTTCGGAATGAGTTTCCACCGTATACCATTTTTTAAGGACTGTACAAACTGCCATCTAAAATATTTATTTTCTTCATTGACAGAAAAGTCGCCAACAATAGTTTCAATATTTTTTGTTGTTCCTTTCAAACTTTGGTATATTTCGTTAACATAAGTTTTATCTGCCTTCTTATCATATAAATCTTGAACAGTGAATTTAACATTATTTTCATCCTTCATGATATAAACATTTTTACACTTAATTTTTTTATTCGTTGTTATGTTTTCATCCGATGTTAAACCTTGTGGAAAGTTAGGAGGTTTATAATATAATGCATCCCCACCACTTCCCTCAACCGTTCCTTCAATACTTTCTATAGCAACAGTTGAGAAGAAGTTATGTGTATGTTCTTTATCCGCTTTCTTCTCTAACTCATCGTTAACATAAGTTTTATCCGCTTTAAGGTCTAAACATCCTGAAACCCATCCTGTATCAGTTTTAGTTTTAAAAATCTTCGATGTCCATTCATGATACCATTCAACCATTTCTTTAATTTCATTATCTTTTTCATCAACATAAACCAAATTTGCTTTCTTCTCTAACTTACTAGCCACATATTCCTTATCCGCTTTCTTCTCTAACTCATCGTTAACATAAGTTTTATCTGCTTTCTTCATTATGTCATTTAGGAAACCTTCTATGAATTTCTCATTTAAATTAAATCTTCCAATCTTCAAAACTTTAGGAAATGCATTTAATGCGTAATATCTCTGTTCTTCTGGTGGAATTGATGTTATATCATCCGTTATTCCTTTAATTTTTGAATTCATAAATAAAATTTCTTTTATATTTGATATCACTGCACCACCTTTGCAAACGAATTCGAAATGGTCATTTTTCAATACTATCTCCAAATCTCCATATTTCAACCTTTGCGTTTGTTCTGCCGTCTTTGAATTATATGCATATGTGGCGTATGTAACGGTTTGAAGGACTGGGGTGCTTTGTGTCTTAAGTTGTTGTGGTTGCTGTTGTTTAATCATTTATTACGATTTAAAAATAAATATTTAATCCGTTATCTCATCAGCTATTTTCTCTATTTGAAATTGCCATAATATTTCATTCATAAATTCTAAATCACAATCAAATAGGTCAGTTATTCTAAATTTAATATTTGATAAATCTTTTGAATGAAGAATAAATGAATTCCCGGATAATTGAAACGGATATGATAAAGAAAATATGTTTAAGTTGATGGATAAAATGTTTTGTATTGATGGGTAAGAGTTAGGGTCTAATGTTTGATGTGAAAATCTCATCGGGGTCTTAACTTTATCACATTTGATTAAAATGAAATTGGAACCAGTGTCAGAATACAAAACATCCCCAACATCTTTTTCAAAATTTAATATCCCCAACAATAAACGAAGATGAGGAGTACAAAATTTAATTTTCAGCGGAAATTTAATAAGGTTATTTATTTCATCAAGTTCAAAAAGTTTATCAGGTTTTGATTTAAAATTTTCTTCATACCATACGATAAATGATTCATTTAAATAACTTAAAATCGTGTTAATATCCCATTTCGTTATCACATTATTTATATACATATCATACGTTTTTTCATGGCCATCTTTAATAAATGATATATAATCTGAAGGGTCTAAAAGAATGGGATTAAATTTACCACTCACAGAAACGAGAGTAACATTATAAATTCCGCTAACTGTTAAATTTAATTCACAACTATTATTCGAAATAATATTGATAATTGACATTTTTATTACGATTAAAAATATGGTAAAGCGTTATTTTCCAGTGATAAATAAAACTAGAATAAGATTACCTCAAGAATTCATAAATTCAACGAATAAGAAATTCATTCATGTTATAAATTTTAGTGTTTTCAGAAAATATGAGTCGATGTCATATTCATCAACAGGTTATATTTCACTTCATTCAAATTTAGTTCAATCAAACCCATATAATGACCATTTCATAAGATTTTCAGATGGTATTAAAAATGTAATTGATAGATTAAAATATGAACAGATTGACAATATCGAATTTTTGGAATTTTGGTTTAAATATCCCGATGGAAAAAAGATTGAAGTTAAAGATAAAGCTGATACTATAACAAAAACAATTACAATGACCGATCCGGATAGTGGGGAACAAAAAGAAATAAAACAAACGATAGAAACTGGTGAAAGGTCAATTATTATTGATTATGATTCAAAGGATTATTATTCGATAATGTTAATGCTTGAATATTAAATAGCCTTAACAAAGAATTTTTCAAGTGATATTTTATATTCATCAACTATTTTATTATAAATATCATTATATGTTAAATGAAGTTCAGTTGTTGTTCCGTTCTTTGATATCTTAATTGTGCTAATATCCTTTATAGGATTTATTTTTGCAACTGTTCCGCAGCATGAAACCTCATCATCTATGAAAAATTGAATCTTAACGTCTGAATCTTGAACATCACAAAGAATGGCGATAATGTGAATTAATGATTCATAAGGTAAAATAATTAAACCGGATTGGTCAATTAAATTTATTATTGAATCATAATTATTAGTTATTATATCACGGTAAATTTTCATTAATTCAGAATTAATGTCTATTTTATATGGGTTCTCGATGTTTGATGAAAGAGGTGCTGGGTATCTTGGATAAGTGGGAATTTCAACGGGTTCTTTACCAGGTTCAGATAAAATGATTGGGTCTCCATCTTCTTTATTTTGCTCCTCATTCTTCGGTAAATCACGAGTTAATAAATTTGGTTGAGTTGCTGACCTTGTTAATTCAGGGCTAACATTAACTTTAACATTTTGAATAATTCGTGATTTATCATCATTTACGTTATAACCAACCGTAATCTCTGCTTTTGCGTTAGTGTTCTTTTGACCAGTGAAACGTCTTCTCATTTATAATCGAATAAAAAAAATATATTTAAACTTTTATTTTGCCGGAACTTTTGAATCTATTATTCCCTGTATTTGTTCATGAAGTTGATTTTTGGCTGTTTCATCGAAATTAATAGACCGAATATATTCATTAATTGCATTCTTATAATCATCCGATTTCTCAAATTTTCTTTTATCCGATTCCTTAACTAAATCATAAGTTAAACCTCGTTGCTGATATAATGGTTTCTTAATTAAATCTTTGAATGCTTGAGATAAAGCACCCGATGCAATTCTTGCTACTATAATTGGTTGGAATTGCTGTTTAAGTTCATCTTTAACATTTGCGAAAACTGGATCGAATAAAGCAACTTTAAAGAATTTCTTAGCTGAAATTTCGGGTCTCATATTTGCATATTGACCATCAAACTGGTTAGAATATCGTGGTAATCCATCCGGTCCCTCTTCAATAGCATTTAATTCTTCATTGAAATAAGAATATGGATTATGACGGTATGAATTAATTGGACCATTTTCACCTTCTCCAATGTATTGTTTAACAGCTTTTCCATTTTCATCAAATTGCATAGGATAACGTTCATTATATGCTTTACGTTTAGGATAATCGGATACAGTTAATTTATAACCATTTATGACTTTAATATTACCTTGACCATCAGTAACGAAAACTTCATTTATACCATCAGGTTTTCCATTTGGACCTGTAATGTCTGCTTCGTGTGCTTCCCAATTTGGACCATGACGTTTGGCATATGCTTGAGCTTCTGGTAATGTTAAAACATTTCTCATTTGTTTAACATCTTTTTGAAGACCAGCAACAATATGAACTAATTCATTCATTCCATCAGGAACTTTCATAGTTCTATTATATGCACCCCTTTTGTTTGTTCCTTGTTTTAATGGAACCTGTAGAAGATTTGCTATTTCTGTCATGTTTAATTATAAATAAAAAATAAAAATTAATTATAAAAAGTTAATCAAATTTAACACCTCCTTTGTTTAAATCAACTATTATTTTCCCATGTTCACCTAATTGCTGATATTGTGTGTAAAGTTCATTAATGCTCATTGGTAAATTCACTTGATAAAGCATAACGTTCAACTGTTGACGACTAAACCCACTGAAAATGAAAAGGGTTGATAGATTTGATTTAATGTTTGTGCTTAATGCTTTGAAATATTGAACAGCCATAAAGAATGAACACTGAATGTGTCGACATTGAGTTAATAACTGATTAAAATATGATTTCTCATTTGTTATTAGTTTTGATTTCACCGCATCATCTAGAAAAATGAGTGAATGCAAAAATTCTCTATCAAAATTTGAAATAGAAAGTGTTTCAAATAATTCATCCCGTTGTTTATCAATAATTTTATCCTCTAATCCTTGCTTCTTGATTGTATTATATAATTCTTTATACATTAAAAAGTTTTTTAAATAATCTTCTGCTTCTTCTTGTGATAAATAAATAATTGGAATTTTGATTAAATGCTTTAAAGATTCAAATGTATCATCTGAAGGTGAACCTGAACGGTTGATATAAATTAACACATGTGAATAGGGGGAAGTGTTAGCAATAATGATAATTTGTTTTAATATCGTTAATGTTTTACCTTTATTTTGTTTACCAATTGCTGCAGTGATTGAATTTAAGTAACATTCAGAATATGGAATTTTCATTAATTTTTCCTTAGATAGAGCATTTCTATTATCACTCAATGCTTCATTAATCATATCATCTACGTATGTATTATATACTCCCGCTAATTCTTCATAAGGGGTGGATGAATTTAAATCCATTTAATCAAAAATAAATTTATAATTTTAAACATTTCTATTCATCAATATTTCATCATATGAACTTCTATACTGTGGTGGTGTACCTGTTGGATGATATTTCAAACCTTCATCCGGTGTCCATGTCCAATATGTAGTCCTAGTAAACCAAACCTGAGGAGGATTTGTCACCTTTGAACAGTAAGTGTCATTTTCACCCTGAATGATTGGATAAGCTTTCACTTGTACTGTAACTTGTGAGTTGAAAGTTTCTAATCCATCAAAGAATATACCCGCTCCATCACGTTGAACTGGAATAGTGCATAAGAATGAAGTTTGGTCTTTCCATGTTCTAGCTAATGGCGCGCCATCATCTGCATTCAGTGGTCTAGTTAATGAGTCCTCGTATTCTTCTGTGCATTCATTCACTCCATCTAAATCAGAAGCTTGAAGCATACGTGTAAAGAATATGTCACCCACTGTGGTCATCGCTTGATCGGGGAAGTTTCTGGAATCTATAGTGACCTGAAGACCTCGAAGCATTGGATTTTCTAAAACTGTTCTTTGCATTGCATTCTTCGGAAATGTTAACACAACATCTGTAACATTATGAAGAGCGTATGAGAAATCAGAGCTGATACCTTCAGGAGTGATGCAACCTCCATTTAGTGAACGAACGTCAATATGTTGAGCTGGAATCATGAATGGATCTTCCTTACTGAATAAACGTGGTATTGCTTTAACTGATTCTTCAATTAAACCATATCCTGGTGTAATGCATTTATCCTCTAAAACTTCCATCTTTATGCATGAAATAATAACGTCATCAACTGTTGCGTCAGCAGATGTAGCGGCTAAGCTTGTAATTAATTTGGTAGGAAGTCCGATTTGTTGGAATTTGCGATCATATTTATAAACATGATTCATAATCTTTTCATAATTTTCATCAGTTATCTTTTCATAAACATAATTTTGTAAATCAGCAACTCTTAACGGGTCAACCTGACAAAATACTAAAGTATCTCTGAAAACATAATATTTAAGAATGATATCACCAAATGATTTTGGATAATCATCGAACGCCTGAAATGCTAACAAATCATTTACCGGAATAATCATATCAAAAGTGACATCAACTTCTTCATTTGCTCTCTTGAAAACTTCTGAAGGGTCAATATATTTACCACATATTGAGTTATCATATTTTTGAACATTATTATATAACGAATGAACAAACTTTTTAACTTTCCTTTCTGATTTCGGTTTATATGTTGCAAATGCGAAAGATTCACGGGCACAATCCATCTGAAGATAACCGGCATCACCT